ACAAAAAGTGGGCAGCTTTTCATTTTTCATTGTTAGAACGAAAAAGAAGTTCATTTATATGACTTCTATTAAGTCATTTATTTTCAGTGACATCCTCTATAATGACTATTATTTCTACACGTGCTTCCTAAGCATAACAATAACAGTTCCATGGCACATTGATAAAAGACAAGGTCTTGGGACGATGAGCCTATTTGCCACTTTTGTGCCTCGATGTTTTTTTATTAAAATGGATATACATAACAACACTCCGGGTATGCCCTAATTATATGAATTCAGTGTTCAAAAAGAGCCCCACTTCTGCTACTCCTAAAGAGTTTGGATGAGACACCTCAATAACCCTCTGTATGCTGCTGGATTACTGCATGTGTCACAAGAGATGAGATGAGAAATCATCTTGCCTTAGTTCTTGTGGTGTACACTTGAGTAGACAACCATTAAAATAAAATTCTAAAAAAACACTCTTTGGCATCACAGGATTGTTTTCACTGGCATGAAGAATCAAATATTTATATTTCTGGGAACGTGTTAATGATCTAATGATAATTATAAAAGAAGAACACCAATAAATGAAATGTATTTTTTACGGTTTTGATGCATTAAAGCATCACATTTTGGTGAGCAAAAGAGAAACAAGTGGGAGAAAGGACTATTGACATGATTTCAGTCTGCTGCAAGGGAGAGGCAATGTCATCAACAGTGGGATATATCTCATGGTTTCCCAGTTTTACGAAGAGACTGTCTGAGTGCAGCAGGATTCACTGTGAATCATTGTTAGATATCCACATATATACACTTCATCCCTAGACCCTTTTAAACGTTCAATCACACCCTTGAAGAAGACCTCACAGTTGAACTGTCACATTTTTCTTGTTTTTACTTTTCAGTGTAGAAGCTACCTGTTCCTTTGCACATGCATTCCATTAGGCAGGATCTCATGCCTCATGTAAAATGGTCATGCAGATAACTCTTAATTGTGCCATGAACATGAGATTAAGGTAGGACACTGGATTGACTGAAAATAAGCAGATCCCATTATTAGGGTTTGCTGTATCACCAGGAATAGATGTTGGAGCTCAAAAGCTAGCAGCAATCGCAATCACAGACATCCAGTGTTTTGTGAACCTACAGCAATGACCCCCCCTAGTGATGACAAAAGGTAAGATCGGGACAGCATTCGAAGCTGGGAAAAGCTATTGAAGAACAAAGAAAAGTGTAAATAATAAGCATAGTGCACTGCTGGTACCGTAAATGTTGAAACTGAACAAGTAAAGGTTTATTCCATGCTGAAAAGGGAAGAAAAGAAATGCAACATTTCAGCTGTGGAGCCTTCTTCAGGCGACAAGGAAAAGAAGGCTCCACAGCCGAAAAGTTGCATTTCTTTTCTTCTCTTTTCAGCATGGAATAAACCTTGTTCCTTTGCAGCCTACGCATGATGATGCAACTACCTACTTGAACTACTAATGTTGAAATCGGGCATTAGTCAGCATCTGAAGAACAGGAAGCACGATGGGCATCATCCTGCTTGTGGTTCAGGCCTTCCTGCCTCTGGGCACCAGGCTGGGTCTCTGAGCACAATGACATGCAGCGGCTGAGGGGACGAACAGTCTGTGATCACGATGTCCCACCCTTGTTAGCTCCTTGCTGCCCGCTCTCCAGACAATACGCCTCTGAGTGGACCTTGACCTTTTTGTTGTGTTTTGTTGTGTTTTGTATTTTTTAAAGTGAAGCATGGGCTAGAGACCGCAAACACTGTTGCGTGTTAAAGACCAGTTATGTTCTCGCCCTCTAATTGACCACAAGAACAGACCCAAGCACAGCACCTAAGCGTGTCATACTTGTCCAGTGACCTCTCTCTCTATCTCACTCCAGAGGCAGGCACGGGGACTTAAATAACAGAGATATGAAGAGGTGTTAAGGGTTCTGAGCTTCACGAAGACACGTAGTATTCAGCAACAGCCCATACATGAGGGGAGCAAAAAGGAGGCAAACTGTCTTCCAAAGGTCACCCAGACCCTTTCTCCACCTGAAAATGACCAATAAGTAGAAGAAGATATTCTCATAAGGCCCTAATAGCTAAGAGTTGTCACCTCCAAGCCTTACAAAGTGATTGGGGCAGACATGAAGAGTTGAATCCAAACCAGCAAATTTCACCATCCTGTCCCCTTGAAAGAATCAGGTTTAGCGCTGTGATCCCTGGCTAGGAACAAAAGAAATACTCTTCCTAGTCATCGACCTACCACAAACTGAGCTGTGTATTCCCTCACTCGTAAGGACATTCTCAAGTGAATGCATTTTATTTGATTACCAATCTCCTGCTCAAATTGTGTTGCTCACTAAACCTGAGATCTATTTTATAATGCAATGCATCCTGCAGCCTTCAAGTCAGTAAAGAAAGAGTTCTTGATCACCTTGAAGGAATCTGTGCCACTCTCTTACCTCACAATTACTTGTGTGATAATCCACATCCCTCAAATACTATATAAAGCAAATTAATTCCTAAAATAAATAAAACATCTAAAGCAAAAGAGCTTCAAAAGGAGAAAACTGTCAGATGCACAGTTTTTCGATTCCTTGGGATGCATTACGCTGTGAGCTTCAAACCGTTTCTTCTTAATTTATAACAATATTGCAAAGAAATACGTGATGCATACATTTTCTCTTTGAACAGATTCTATGAATTAATTTAAGCAGCATTAGCTGTACAGAAATTACACAACCTGTAACTCTGCATATATGCCTTAAAAAAGCCCCTTTTGCTTGATTCCATCTACAAAGTTGGATGTGTTCTGCTACAGTACAAGAATGAATGTGAGGTGGCAGGCTAATGTACTTTATCGTCTTTTGAAGTTCATCCATTGTGACAAATGTTCATTTTCTAACTGTCTAGAATTAAGGAGACTCTACTTCAATTGTCAAACTCAGTTCTTTGGCATGAATGGTTACACAGACTGTGCTCCACCAACTGCAATTCCACATTATAAGCAAACAAACAGCTTGTAGTGAATAACAATAGCTCGTGTGTGTCTGTTTTCAGTCACACAAAATAGACTTTGCACCCCTAATGGTTCAGAGTATTCAACCACACCACAAGGGAAGATGCATCTCTTCAAGGCAATTAGAAAACTGCTGACCTGAACGTTAAAAAACACACAAAACAGCAAGAGCCCCAAAGAGTAGAAAGTGGTTCTCATCCTAGACAAGTCTTAGTTGTGAATACGCCTCTGTTTTTGCTCATCCAAGTGGATGCACTACAGGATTAAGGGTAAAACCAGTTCTCTCTTTGTATTGTTTTCCACGAATGTGAATTTAGTTAATTGCTAAACATTATCATTTCAACGGGGAAGAAGATTTAAGAACCCTCCTTCTAGTGTTGGGATAGGAATTAATCTTTAGCCCAGTCTGTTTCCATGGCAGCTCATGAGCGGAACATTAATACCTACTTGCGTGACAAGTAACAGTGTGAAGAAGACTGCTGCGTCTATCTTGTTAAAACACTGCAGGCGTACATTTGCTTTCTCAAGGTGCGAGATCAAATTAGCACACCAACACGATACCACACAAGAGACTGCTACAAGAAGAACAGGTAGAAAACGTGATTGCTTCTTTTATAACCAGACATAATGGACAAACAGGCAGCTATTTTTATTGTACACATTGCGATCATATTAGAATGTCCAGGGCTGGATCTATTTGCACAGCTTAAAGCAGCGGCAAATCCCAATACCATATCATAATCTGTTCTGTGAGTGCCCCTGAACCCCCCAGTGACCTCGCATAGGACAGATTAGTGTTGATCATAAACAAAAGAGCATTGTGCCAGGCTCCTGCTGTGCGCTGTGCCACCACAGCTGACCTTCTCATGCCACCCTGCAGCTCTGTTTTGCCCCTCCCCCCTCAGATATTATACAGATCTAACAAAAGAAAAAAACAAATTATATGGCTTGGAAGTGTAAAAGACCAATATAAACATATTATGCACCGCACAACGAAGTCAAAGGGTGTTTCACCAGGTAGGAATGCATCTCAGAAACTGCCAAGAAGACTAAGCTCCAGCTTTCAGCACAAATATTCCAAACACAGAAGAGTTCTGATGCAGCAGCAGGAGCACTGACCTCAAACCAGCTGCTGGCTAAGAGGTCTTCCCTTCACAGTGCCTGAGGCCAGTCAGGGCCAGCTCTGCCTGAAGATTAGAAACTTGGTTCATGCCTTTCAGTTGACGTTCTGACTTGTTTTTAATACCTTGAGATCTGCTTCTTGCTAAATGTACTGAATTCTATTGATTGTGTCCTATCTCATTTCATCAAATTGGCCATTGTGCAGCCAGAATTCAATTTATGAATGATAAATTAATAGCAATTAGTAATATTATGCTCTTCATTGGTAGCAGATTTCCTCACTTCAATTGCTGGTGGCTTCAAATACACAAACACATGTGCCTCATGCCTCTCGGTCCCCATTGTAAGTGGGGCACACATCAATAGATACAATTCCCCTTGTATAACGAGCAAGGTTATTCATGAGAAAATCACATTAATTCTGCCCCAGGAGAACCCATCAGCACATCAAAGACCAGGAGATGAATTTGACACTCTTTATGTGAAGAAATTTGAATTCCTTGAAGCACCGATTCTATGATGCAGTAGTTGGCCATCAAAAAAAACACCCCCAAGTGCAGGTCAGTGAATTTGTAATCTGTGATGGTTAGCAGCATTAACAAAAGAGTAGGGGGATCACATTTTGGGTGTTATAACTGCAGCAGGCAAGGCAGAGAAAACACCTCCTGTGCATGCACTGGTGATCACTAGAACATCAAATGCTTTGAGGGCAGCCAGAGAGCAAAATGCTCTGAAGGCACAGAAGCCATTAAAGATCTTGAAATCTAGCAGCTTTCACATACAAGATCTTAATGAGCACTCAGTCACATCTCATGCAGAGATGGTTTAAACTTTAAGGTCCTGCGAGACTTGAAAAAACCCACTTATTCTGTTCCCACTTACCGAACTCGGCTTCCTTCAGCTCCAGCTCCTGTTTCAGAAGGTCATGATCCACCTTCATCTTTTCAAGTTTTTCACTATTGCTCTCGCTCAGAGCCTGCAGCTTCTTAATCTGCCCTTCCAGTCCGTCTCTCTCGGCACACAGCGACTTGATCTCCATCTTTACCTCTTTCGCAGTGGCAAAGTCGCTCCCTGTGCATTCAAAAGGAACTGTTTTTTAATAACGTTGCCAAAACCGAATTGGGAGATTCCAAAAGCAGATGGCTGGTCATTGGCTGGCAAACTGTCAACATCAAACAATGCTAAAACTCCTCTCTGTTGCTGGAAATCAAAGTTCAGTCCTGTAAAAATTTTTTCATCCATTAAACATGAGCCGCAAAACTTGACCACAATGCACACAGCTATTGAACCCATGCCAAAAGGTAACAAGATAACAGGAACTTCACCAACGGCATGAAGCCAGAGAACTAAGATCTGGCTTGTGCTCTTGATGTCCTCCTAGAACCAAACCAGCCATACACAACCCCCATGACATCCAGAGCATGTGACCGGTTGAACACGATGCATAAAGCCGATGTACTGTAACAAGCTACAGCTGTGCAAAACACAAAGCAGACCTAGCACAGCAGAAGAGCCATGCCTATATTGAGGGCCACAGTCTGGAGTAGTGACTAGAGCTCTAAACGCTAGGCCAGGGAGCTGTAGGCTCACATACCAGGTTTGACACTGTTCTTTTACACTGGAGCACAGTACTTCACTCAAATTGAAGTAAACAGGGGTGCTCTCCTGGTCATTGTCAGTGAGAAAGAGAATTTATTCTTAGCTGGTTAAATAATGGATTTAAGATATTAATTCACACCAGACCCTCACTGAGAAAGGTGCCTGTCCAGGTTTGTCAATCAATACAGTTTTACAGCATGCGTTTTCCACTGAACACAAGGGGAAGCCCCCCTTGTGCATTCTCAAAAACCTGAACCGAAGGACCTTCTAATACCTTCTACTTTGTTTCTACTACAGATGGAAATAAAGCAATTGCAGAATACACATTACAGGATCTTTGACACTCAGGGCTTAGCGACATGTGATTACATTAGGAAACAGGACCCCCGCCAGCAAACACAGTGTTTAATAAAGAGTGTGCAACAGTCACCCTACCTGATATGGCTGCCAGTTTGGCTTCGTGCAGGGTCAGTAGCTGGGTCTCACTTTCACTAACTTTCTTCCTTAGGCTGCTGCACAGCTTCTGACTCATGAAAACCTAGATGGAAGAAGACAGCCGTGCGACATTATTTATTTAGATAAGAAAGGGGTTACTCGAAAAGCGCACTTCAAAAGCCTCCCAATGTACAAATGTGACATAACAACCACTAAAGAGTAATGTAGCTTATCTGAACTGCATTTAACTAAGAAAGTGGAAAAATCTTTAAAAGGTTTTCTTTCAAAAGATCTATGGATTTGGCTTCAGTGAGTGTTTTCTAGTTTTTAATGGGTTAGACCGCTCTAGAGTGAAAAGATTACATAGTCCAGAAAAGCGCTACAGTATATAAGTGTAAACAATTACTATTATTATTATTATTATTATTATTATTATTATTATTATTATTATTATTATATAACTAAGAACTGATTAAGTCCCTTTGTGTTGCAGGTTAAGGGGGTCCACAATACACTGTCAACTGAAAACAACTTTTTATTAACACGTCATTAAAAAGAATTGAAATAAACAGCCCAGGCATCTTTTTTAATTTTAAGCTATTTCTGGGGTAGCAATTCAAAAATGTTTTCAAGCACTCTATATTTTTTGAACAAATATTTTCTCGTCCCAGCATAATGATGCCAACCGCTTGTCTACAATGGAGTAAAACAAATAAAAAATCCCCATATAAATAATACACAAGGAAAGAGATACTAGACAGAAATATAATTTTAGAGCAAAATTACCCCTTGAAATATAATGGCGCCCAGTGTTTTCCTTTTGACAGTGTGTCTCATAACTTTGCAGGATGAAACATTTACTTGATCTATATTTTTGTTTGCATTCTATGATGTTCATTTGCCATGTTTAAAATATTTAACTAAATCCATGAGACTCGAGGGTTTCTTTTCTCTGGTGCATCACTATATAATCTACTGTATATACACAGTATCAGTTTCTTCCCATCAAATCACGGGACATTTCGAAGTGACGTCTAAGCTGCAATCAGCGTAGTGCAACTCAGCATTTTGCTTTGCTCACACTGGAGACAGATATTAAGTGCTGAGAAGGGCTCTATTTATGTATCAGGCGAGCAGGGTATTATTGCTGCAATGGAGAAAAGACAGCAATGCTCAGTGACCTGTGAAGTTTGACAGCCCACAGTAGCAGCACACCCCCTGACACACTCAACAGCACACAAAAGTGGCAAAGGAAATATTATGCAACAGAGGGAACGTCATATGCACCTGAATTTTATAAAAGTTCCTAATATATACTGATTTTTTGGTATGCTAGTTGTTAACAAAAGGTAACTTCATCCAGCATGCAACCATCCATAAAAAACATTGACCTTGGATATGTTTTAAAAATTAAAATTCTTCCAAAAGCAGATCAACCATTTAATTTCTATACATGAAGTCATTAGATTTATATAAACACTGCATTCCCTCCTTCTACAGTGGTTTAGCTTGGTAACTAGCCTCGATCATGTCCTTCTGTTTTCCCACTGCATAATCTACCTTCACCTCCTCACTTTCCAACAAAGTATCTCACACCTAATACCTAGAATTGTTACAGACCTCATTAAACATGGTCCTTAGCTCAATTCAAAATACTTTTGGAATGATATTTTTAAGAACGGTGAGCACGGAGGAAACACATTTCAATGCAGAATGACTGAATAGCCTTCAATAGCTTTAAAATCATAATCTGCTTCGGAGCCAAGATTCTTTGCAGTCTACTTTAACAGTGGCTTTTCCATTTTTCCATGTTAAAACATTTGCCATACGCTCTAGGCAATATAATAAGGGAGCTGTATATATTTTTGCAGGAAGTTACAATATACTACTTGGCAGACAAGACTCCATTGTCCCATTATTATACCCCCAGACACTCTACCTTCCCACCTGCAGAGTCAGTGACACTGCTTGGTTTTCGGAGTATTTTTTAAGGCACGTTGCCAAGCTCTCCCTATTTGCAGACTGACTGTGCTCCCTGTCACCCTCACTTGATACACCCTGGAGCCATGACAAGAAAAGTGGCAAGTTTCAGAACCTCACACAGCTCCTTGCGGTGTAATACCCCTGAACTGTCTCCTGGGACAGATTTGCCCTGTCTAAGACTAATACCGAACCATTCCCTGAGCTGCCAAATGTCAGCCATCAGCTACACACCACACCAAACAGTGAGCAGAGCCACTGTGGACTGCACACTCTGCAGCTGGAGGTGAGGCTTGTGGTGGTTCCTGGACTCACCAAACCCAGACAAAAAGAGAATGTTTTAAAGAAAGCAAAGAAAAATGTACATGATTCAACTGTTAGACAAAAGCTTTTTATAAAAGGAACAAAGTCACTCGGACATACTGAAAATATATCAGTAAAATGAGAAGGTAACATAGGTGCCTGACATAGGACATTCAGAATTATATCTATATATATATTCCTATAGATAGGAAGTGACATTATAATACCTATGGCCTGCTAGAAAATAATTTCTTCAAGCCAGACAATGGAAATCCTTTTTTACTCAGGTGCTAGTAAGTCGTGATTTGTCAAATACAGCAGTTTTCTGCCTATGACAGCACAGGACACAGTACATTAGGCTGAAATGAAGCCCACTAAAGCCTACCAATGTATGCTATCTTCAGCTGTGGGCATCAGGAGGAAATATAATATAGCAACGGAGCCGATTCTGCATTAGGCCAGCGCTCGATGCTTGAGTTCCAGGTAAGCTGCCCAGTGAATTTCACACACACTTCACTGGAATTGTCTTACACTCCACTCCTCACCATCAGAAAGCCTAACTGATCAACGGTGCTATGAAACCGTGAAGCAATGAAGTGAACTGGATGTGGAAAATCATTTTTGTTTCTAACACGCAATATGTGATTTTTTTCACACTTTTCTTCTGTCTAAAAATGCATCTCTAAAGTGATCTGTTAAGAGAGGACCTGATGATAAGCTCTTACTTTGGCTGTAAACTCTCTGATGGCCACACTCAGTGCTTGTTCCTGCTCCTGGAGGCTGTGGAGAAAAACAAACACACAATAAAGATTAGTTCATGGTCACTGTAGACTTGTCTAAATCCACCAGTCTATACCTGGTCTTCACATAGCAGCATCTTGTAGACAGACGTCATTTAGCTGCTACTTGGAACATGTTTTTTCAGTTTAGATGTGACGGGGGTCCATACAATTTTACAATGAAGTATGTAGACGTGCCTGTTTACGGCTATAAAGACAAAGAAAATACTCATAGGAGCAATAGATATGCCATCCCTTGCCACAAGTTTGGTCTCTTAAGAAATACATTTTTACATTATCTCTAAACAGTCTGTGTCTTTTTCTGATGCCAAAACCACCCTCCTTCCTAGATTCCTGCGTCTGTGCTCTGGTATCTACAACTGCTTGTATACCCATAATACTGCAGTAAAACTAATTAAAATAACAATTACATAGATGAGAAAAAGTATATTTTTTGTTACCCTTCTCTGCAAAAGCTTAAAAATAACAGTCCAGTATGTGTCAACTTAGGTATTGAAAAGAAGAATGAATTTTTTCCTGCTTAAGCACAGCTTGGGAAAAGGGAAAAAGGTAAAGAGTTTATCTATCAGTAGAAAAAGTAGAGCCATTTCTGCATGTCTGAAAAGCTTCGAAAGCTGCCCTGTACATTTTACCCCAGCATTTTTCATCAAAGACTCCCAGCACACTAACACGGTGTGCGCATAAACATGAGTATTCGAGAAACGCTGCCCCTTCTATACACTGTAGTACCAGACGTATTATATGTTACAGAGTCCTTACACGTGAAAACATTGTGGCTGTGCTCCTGCATGATCAGGAACTGTCAGAAAATCCAGATTCCATATCATAACCTGCAGAATCCTTGTAGGTACTGAAGGCTGGTATGAGCTTTAACAGACCACACCACTGGAGATGCCATGACAGCAGTAAGAACTAAACCAGCGATTACAGCACGAGACTGGCAGGCACAGTTTATGTTTCCAACAACAACAACACCCCAGGGAGACAAGTGCAAGTCAGGAACAGGTTGGCTTGGTTTAATCTCAGTGCTTTCTGTGATGCTCTGATCAGGTCAGAAAACAAAACAAAATCAGCAACAGCCTTTTCCGACGTTTTTCACCAGTTTCCAATTAGTTCTGCCTTCTCCAGGTATTCCTGCCCACCTTACCCTTCCTACTATTCTCCCAGAGCCGGACTAGGCCAAACAGCATATTACATCAGTTTTTTAAGACACGCAAACTGTAATTTTGAGATCCTTCAGACCAAAAAAGAACCATTATCATAATATGACCACTGCTGATTAGTCTTGAAATTATAATCGTGCATGAAGCATCGAAAAGTCCAAACATACTATCCGTGTCATGATGGCTTCACAGGAGGTGTCAATGTCATTTGAACCAGAATCCACAAAATATTCTGAAAAGCTGCAGGAGTCATTGTTTCACCAGCAGCTGAGAGATCCCCGACCCTAACCCTGACCCTGACCCTAACCCTTCCTCAGAGCTCAACAAGGCACGCGCCCCATCTTCTGGATTCCTGGTCATGGCCAGCTCGTGCTCGAACCTGCGACATCAGAACCACCGACCCCAGCACCTTGAACAGGGGACCTGGTTGAGCCTTCCACTCTTGACCTTTCAAACCAGAGACATCACAGAGACCCCTGTGCCAACCCCCCACCCCACCCCCCCCAGAAAGCAAACCCCCATTTAGGTCAATTGTTTTTCAATGTCTTTCACATCTAAAACCAGCTGTTTTTTTAAAAAGACAGTTCTCCTAGCGCATAAGTCAGTGACACAGAGCATTGCCGTTGCTGAAGGCTTTACAGAAGAGGCCAAATCTTATTTGTGCTCTAGCAGAAGGGCCTCCAGGGAAACTCTAATGACGTCAAAAAGGGGGCACAGACACCTGCTAAGGTTCAATTCCAGCAATGTGACTGGCTAACAATTACAGTAATAGTTAGACGAGGCCTGACTACTCCTTTTCTTTCCATCGATCTGCAGTACAATCCAGGTGCTTCGCAATCAGTAAAACTGTCTCATTCCACTTCTTCCTCAAAAGGAAACCTTGTAGCCCTTCACTACTGCTGGCTCATCTATTTTTAATTACAGCTACAGAGACTCATCAGGAATCTTCTCCAAATAAGTGGTAATTAATTCCCGCGCTGTGAAAAGCGTTTCGTGAATGCTGTGGGCTCTGAGGTCAGGACAGAGGTGTGCGTCCATCGAGAGCTCACCCAGTGCCTGCTGGCTCTGAGCTTCACTCCAGTCGGAGCAGCTCCCAGCCCTGTTCAACAGCAATTAAGAGGAGCTGCACTGACATAAATAAATCATCACTGAAACATAATAATTAAACTGTGTCCGGCTATCTGTTTTTTTAATGAATTTTCACTAAATTAAAGGGATATGGCTCTACCCAATTGCAAAACATTTTTCGTTGCATCAGATTGTTTTGTTCTACAAATAGTGTCCTTGGGGTGAGTCTAATTAGTTTCTTTTGCACGAGAAAAATACATAATCACCATCGAGCTTTAATTATTTAGCTGTAACACATTCATAACCCCCAGCGAGAATTCCTCACATTTATCTGTAATAATTTAAATCGACAGTGTGTGAACTCAAACCGTTGTAAAATGATTGCAGCAATGAGAATGTCTTATTAAAGTCTTTCTCTCTAGAATGGAAAAATAAACTTCTGCACAGGCTCTGATTAGAGTTCTCAACAGTCTTTCTTTACAACACACGAAGTTCAAAGTCATCCCATGCTGGAATATCAGGCCAGAATTTTTTTTAAAAATTATTTAGGCTCCTGTTGACAGAATTAATAAAGCCCTCCAGACTTTTTCCTGTTGTGAAGCAAAACAAGAAGCCAGAACTTCATGGTTTGAAAAAAAGTCATGTCTCTCATCCTACATGCTAATCCTAAAAATATCCTAAAAACCGATGAGAATCTTCCAACCCTCTATCCAATGCTGCTGTTAATTAAATCAATTAAAATAAAAGACAAGCCCTATGAATCTGAAAAGAAATCTTGTGGAGGGATAAAAAGGCCTCCATTCATAGGGTGCTCATGTACAGAAACTGCTCTGGCTAAGACCAGCATCATTTTATCAGAAGCAGCTGGGGAAAGAGCTCCACCCTCTGGACCAAAAGATACCATGGAGGCAAACTGCTGTAACTGTACAAAGGCAGAAAAGGTGATGCGGATGAAACATTATCAGCTAACAATAGTTCTAAGCAATCATAATCAAATACATTACGCACTGTCACTGATTTCTTATGAACATTTAAGATTTCTTCAAACGTAAAAAAAAATGATATGTCAAAAAAGTCCTTTTACTGTAGCCTCAAAGCCAGCCTATGACATTGCAACTACACACCAAAAATAAATAGACAGGGAAAAGAGAAGAATTTACATCTTATATTTTACTTTCTAAAGCAGGTGAAGTGCCTTGTGCCCATCTCTGCTTTGCCCGTCTGAATCCATTAATTACAGACCCTCCTGAATGCACAAGATCATTGACGGGAAAAGCAGAGTTCAAACTCATTTGCAGAAAAGTCAACAGAGGTGAACGCGAAATAAGGAGACAGCACCAGAACAAAATGGAAATAAGATGAGGGAGAATATCATCTAACCTTTAACATTTTTCTCAGAAAAAACTAAGCATTGTGGCCATTTGAAATTAGAATGGCCTGCAACACAACAAAGAAGAGAGTAAGAAGACACATCTCAACCTAAGGGACTCCATCCCTCTTACAAGTCTAATTACAAGCACAAAAGAGGACGGGAATTTTTGTGATATTGCACTGTTTAAATAACTTAATGAAATACCGACCAGACTGACCAATACTGAAGTATAACCAAATGGAAATCCATCACTCCTTAAAATAAAACAATTATTTCTTATTTAAAATCTTGGTCAAATCAATTTCTAGGCAGGACAAGGCTGATGCTGATAAGTCACTGAAGAAAATATACAATCTGACCGAGCAGACCAATCTGTATTAGTATTTCTTTACAAAAAATATGTTTTTTGGTTCAACAGACAAATTAAAGAGCCTAAATGGGGTTTTCTCTGTTTATCCACTCTCCCAGGATGTAAAAAAAAACTAGGAGAGGTCTGGCAAATCGAAAAAAATATTTTACTTCTCATGCAAGGGTACTAAACTAAATAAAGACTGTTACTCTGTAAATATGTAACTGCTGAACAGACTGCTGTGAGAACCTTGGATTTAATGTGACCTTAAGTTACAGAAGATCGGACGGACTTTCTTCCCTATCTCTGTCTCTCAGCAGGCCAGCTGCATTGTCACCTGCTGTGAAAGAGAAATTCAAGTCTTGCCCTGCTGTGTGAATATAAACCTCCTACGGAAAACGCTTTTTAACATATTTTTCACCACCTGATTGCTAAATTTAATGAGAGCAAATTACACATCTGTTACTCACTCAAAAGGGCATTTTGATTATTGTTATTGTCATTAGTTTTTTTTTTCCAAAGTCCAGCTAGTTCCACACAAACTGAATAATACCTTTACACAGTACACACTGCCTTTAAGTGTAAAAATAATGCTGTGATTTAGCAAATTGGACGGAAATGCTGGAATGAGAGTAAAATCTGCTGGTCTCATTCCAGTGTATTTTACATCTGTGGGAGGAAAATGTTGAGGAGAGCTGGTCTGATTACTTCATTAGCACTGATTTAGCAGCTATTCATTCTTATATGTATTCAAATCCCCAAAGCAGACAGAAAAGGCGATATTTTTCACAAATCTAAGCAGAGTTTCAACAGAGTGTAACTGGAAGCCCACTGAAGCTCAGCAGGTGTGAGCCTGGTCAGTACCTGGATGGGAGACCTCCTGGGAAAAACTAAGGTTGCAGCTGGAAGAGGTGTTAGTGGGGACAGCAGGGGGCGCTCACCCTGTGGTCTGTGTCGGTCCCCAGTATCGTGGTGGGGACACCATACTGTAAAAAGGTGCCGTCTTTCAGATGAGACGTAAAAACTGAGGTCCAGACTCTCTGTGGTCATTAACAATCCCAGGGTGCTTCTCGAAAAGAGTAGGGGTGTAACCCCAGAGTCCTGGCCAAATTTCCCATTGGCCTTTCCAATCATGGCCTCCTAATAATCCCCTTCTATGAGCTGGCTGCATCACTCTGTTCTCCTCCCCACTGAGAGCTGTTGTGTGGGGAGTGTACTGGCGCACTATGGCTGCCATCGCATCATCCAGGTGGGGCTGCACACTGGGGGTGGAGGGGAGTCCCCATTACCTGTAAAGCGCTTCGAGTGGAGTGTCCAGAAAATCGCTATATGAGTGTCAGGAAATATTATTATTATGAAACCAGTACTCTGGTTACTGGCTTGCAAAATCATGGAATAATGGAATAATCATGGATAATGGAAATCATTGTATGTGTGAGAGAGGCAAAGTAAAACACAGCACACTGTAACACTGCAGCACAGTTTTTAGTTTTATATGCAGGACTGGAGAAAATGGCTTCTATATGTGGCGGGAAAAAAATCCCCCAGCTTCCTTTGCTGTCCTGACCCTCCCTGGCCAGGTGAAGAGTCTTTTTCAGGGCACTTGCTAAAAGCAGGAAGGTGCTGGAATGGAAAAATGCCTTGGGCAGTGGATGTGGGCAGGCAGATCTCATTAGCATGAGAGCAGAGGCTGACCTGTGGATGTGTGGGGGCAGTTCTGTGCACAGCTGTGCTCGGTGCTCAGAGCCCACCAGGTCATCCAGGGCCCTGCTGAGGTCCTGTAGCTGGCCAGGAGGGAAGCTGACCAGAGGCAGCTCCTCGCTGTCCTCATACTCCATCAGCTGCTCCTCCTCCAGAACCTGGCGATCGAGCTGGCTGCTCCGGGCCTCCAGTTCTGACAGCTTCCTTTTCAGCTCATGGATTTCCTTCTGCAGTGGAGAACAAATGGGAGAAACTGCTCAGGACAGAGTGAAGTCACCAATGGAGAGATATGTATATAATATCCATCACACTCCACACTACCCTGCAGGATTGTATGGGCTGGTATAGACAGTATACCTGGGGCAGCCAGAATTGAAAACCTTCATGATCAAGAAGTCTATCTCGTTAAGTGAAATAGAAGCCAAATCCTTTAATTAAGGAGTAAATTACCTCGATCTGCTGCTTCTCCTGAAGGATCTGTTCTCTTCTCTGCACAGGGCACTGAAGATGTGAGCATGAATCCCTTTCTTGTTTCTGCCACTGCTGGCCCTCTCTGTTACTGGGCCTTGAAAAGGAAAGATTGCACCTTTCCCGTTTAAAAAAAGCACATATGCAAGCATGCATTTGTTCAAAACATTATGTGAACATTTTACCGAATTAGCAATAAATTGTTAAAATGGAAGGACAGGACCTGCAGTTGACAGAGCGTAGAATTTGTGTGCCAAGTGACACAAAAGACATTGAAAAGTCATTTCAGCTCATTGTAGACACAAATTATGACAAAAGAGATCTGGGTAATACTGTCTCAAAACACGTTTTCACAAACCCATCTATTGAGCTTCCTATAAGGCTGAAAAAAGGCTTTTAAAAGAGCTGAGCACCAGATTTGCTCAAAGTGTTGCCTAGAAGTTAGAGCTTTTGATCTTTTGTGGTTTTATTTATGTAATTAACTCGGACACATTCTGTCAGAAAAATACAGCTTCTTTAGAGTCACAGGCTCATCAGGCTGGAGATATTCCAGGCTCCTGGAGTGACAGATGAAGTAAAGGTACATACCTCCCCCCTGGATAGGAAGCTAGTCCATCACCGTATTACCCCAGCAACCCTGGGACTCATTTATACAGTGAACTGGGTAAACTGGGTGAACTGGAGACACTGTACCTTGTTACCCGGAGCAAATAACTTGCTCATGGGTACATCAGCTGTCACGATCGCTACTCCTCCTCTTAAGGGCGCTCCAGCCCTTCCTTGTTCTGCCTCATTCCCCACACCTGTTCCTTATTCCAGCCCCTATTTAGTTCCACTTTAAAAGCCAGACATAGACGTTACTGGAGGTTCCTCATTGAATCGCGTTTCGTGAGAGCCCGGGTCCTGCAGCGTCTGGCTCCGTAATGATTTTAACTTTCTGTTCCTGATTCCCCCCGCCGGTTCCGACCCGGTTCCTGTTCCTTATCCCCCCGGATGGATCGCCTGGCCATGGACTTTTGCCTCTGTTTTTGATTACCCGTTTGGATTTGCTATATGGATTGTTCTCCCCGGACTCACTTCCCCTGGACACCTGTACTCCTTGGACATGCCCCCTGTCTCCATACCCTCTCCTGCATGACCTTTTTCCCCAGTGTATCTTCACAATTCCGGATCGTGTCGTCTGCATAGTGCCCGGAAAGAACTCTTTCATGACATCAGCAGCCCCTGAATCAGAAACTGGAACCTACAACCTTCCAGTTAGCAGTCCTGAATCCAAATCACTACTCCTAAACTGCCCGAGAGATTAACAGTAAAATTCTATTACAATGTATTACATTTAAAACACACACAGCTAATTGCCTGCTACAAAGTAACCCGTATTATTCTATACTCTCTCGGTCTGAAACTCTAGTTCATGAACGCTTCTATATAAGATACTCCTTCCTTTGATGATCGAACTCCTCCAGTACACAGTCAAAGCACCTCAGCAGCACTACTGTAGAAAAACACCTGACCCCTGATCCCTGACCCATTTTTCCCATCCCTTTTGGAATATCACAAATGACAGGACAATAAGAAGCTACTGCAAGTATTAATTACTAGAAAACCGAATACTATAACCTTACCTAAAAAAAGGTAAGGTTTCACACAGCTCCACATCTCTGAAACTCGGTGTGATGAAAACCTCTAAAACTTGTAGCTGCTGTTCCTGATCCAGCCACTACAGCCATGATTTACTGTCAGATACAGCCTCACCGTCAGGGCTGCAGGGTACGTTATATCACTTTAATTAGTAAAATGTTTCATTCAAAAGCATGAGGCAGGCAACTTTTTTCCTTCAATTAAAAATCGGTCAGTGATGCTGTCACATGAATCACAGCCAGACGTGTCAGTGTCAGTACAAAAAATAACGGCACGCCAGTTTCGAGAGTTCTGATGTCTCCAAACAGTCAAGCCAGGACAAGGTCAGAAGTTGCATTAAACAAAACAAAAAGTCCTGAATTCTTATTCCACTGCAAAATTACACAAACCTATAGCAGAACGATCTCCTAAAATAAGAGAAAAGTTACCCTTAGTAATGACACTGGAAGGTAAGGTTGGAAAATCAAAAATATCCTTGGTTTGGTTTGTAAATTCTGGAAAAACACTTAACATCTGACTAGTTTTTGTTAGATTTTTGTGGGTGAGAACCCAGACCAGTGGTACTAAAAGAGGCAGCGAGGAGTTTAATGATCACTCTCCAGTGCGCTAAAGCTCACTTGACATTAGACAAAAGCCATCAAACAGCTACAGCAGAAGCTGTGCAATAACACATCTCAGCCTCTCTTGTGCAGAGTGCTTCATGATTTTTATGGTGACATTTGGAGTGGAAAGGGCACATGTTTCTTGTGGCACAAATTAAATAAAAAAAAACACTACAAATATCCACACTTTGCTGAAACACCTATAGTCAGTTTTGTCCATGTAAAAGGTTACATTACCTGACACGGGTGGGAACTGGTTTTAAACTAATGGCACACCATTTTGCGGGCAGGAGGGGTTGTTGATGTGGTGAACGTGTTGGATTCCTGACACGCTCAAAGACCTGACGCCGGTCTTGCGGTATTCAGGGTCTGAAGGCTCGTGGCCAGACACTCACCTGCAGACGGGGGTCACCTCCTGCAGTGCTCCCGTCACCTGATCCCGCAGCCGCTCCAGAAGACGGGACACTGCAGGGTGTCGGGAGGGAAGCTCAGCTGTCAGGGAGCTCTTCTCCCTGCGCAGTTCATCCAATTTGTTTCGAAACCTTTCGGCTAGAACGACAGCAAACCACCGTTTTAGTTTTGGTACCCGATAAACATTTTGCAACGGGCATTCTGAAACATAAATGTATTATAATGCGAGTGGGGCTTTATGGACCCCAGTTTTCAGATTTGTACATTCCAGGGGACTGTGCAGAAATAAGTCTGTAGAAGGTAAGGTCAATAATTTAGGTATTCTTACAGAACAAAACAAAATTCATACTCATTTCCCATCTTAAGTTACCGTTTCTGTGAGTCACAAAGCAACATAATAATATTTCTAATTCTAATAATTCTGGACACTCCACTCAAAGCACTTAAGAGGAGACAGGGACACCCCTCCACCTCCACCAGTGTGCAGCCCCACCTGGATGATGTGACGGCAGCTATAGTGCACCAGAACACTCCCCACACACCAGCTCTCAGTGGGTAGAGCAGAGTCATGAAGCCAGTTGAGAAATGGGGATTATTAGGAGGCCATGACTGGTAAAGGCCAAGGGAAAATCTGACCAGGACACCGGGGTTAACACCACATGAAATCACGAAAAGTATATGACGGAAACATTTCTTCTTCGATAACTGTCAAGTCAGCGTTAGTGTACTGGGCAGCGATGACTAAAAAAAGAAGTAAAATATTGATGGAATCTACCGCACGTCTTTGCAGTTCAATACAGACAAACGTGAGAAGATGAAGCATACAAAATGGGCGAGGTGGGCTCCTGTGTCACATGACACAAGTGGGTCCCATTCTCACGACGGGGGGGGGGGGCACCAACACCTTCCACAGCAGCCACTGAGGGATACTGGACTTCTGTCTGGAAGCAGAAAGTGCTCTGAAGGTTCTGCAGCGCTGGGAAAACAACACGTTGTGCCATTCCCTCAGAGGGCTGCTTTTCAACACAGATCTCCTTCCAAACAATAAGCTTCTGTCACATCAATGTGCTGTCAAATCTGTCATTGCCAGAAGACTCCTCACCAGCGCGTGCAGCCATGGATTACATAAAGGTCAAGTGGAAAAATGTCTATTCCACTACATCACTGCCACATTTTCTAAAGGTCAATTTGCAAACTAAAGCTTAAAAAAACAGTAATGCTGAAGTCAGCACGATCCTCCTTGCTCCTCCTCTGAACCTCACTTACTGTTGTAAGGCCTGAGCAACGTTTCACCCAAATACTAATTTAACATTTATTTTGCTCCTTTTTTGTAGGCCAACTTCAAATGTATTTTAAATGTTTTAAAAAAAAAACAACTATGTATTTAGACCAAACTAGCTGCATTACGCTTATAAGGACAGAGGGACATTAATGAACATGCATACTTACAAAAAGTACACTGTGAGATGTGAAAACAGACCAAATGAAGCAGACTTTCCAAAAATATCTACGCGTGGGGAACGCAACTGCATGCTGTAACATCAAAGGCCTGCTGCTGTTCAGAGCTGACACACAAGGGGCAGAAGGTGGGCTGTGCAGTAGGTCATGACTCCATAGAAACTGACCCCTGCTGGGGTCTTACCAGTTTGGTAAATAGTGAAAGAGGCTGGTCTGAATAGGCTGAGGAAAAGGAAACAGCACACAGGCTGCGAAGAAGGAGGCACTTGTGAAAGGACTTACACAAAGCCATGGATTGGACAGACACTCAAACGCTGACGTGTGACAAGTGAACCACGCTGGAAAGAGGAACACGTGCAGTAGGGATCACCCGGCTGACTCCAAACTGCAGGCAGCTCTACGTGAAAGGCATCTGAGTAATACTCAAGCTTAACAGTTCATGAGCAAGACCTCATTCGGGATATTGTATTCAATTATGGACACTTAAGAGTTCTGAGAAGAGCAATAAACTGCTGCAAGAAACTTTCGGATTGCTTAGCTACTTCTGACTACTATCAACTACCACCTACAGCTGAATGTTGGTTTTTATGCACACTGTTGTTTACTACTGTATATTGTCAATTGTATATTATTTTTTATTTTGGATGTTGTATCATATTGATTACTGTCTCTTCATACTACTCGCCTACTGTTATTAGTTATTGCAGTCTTGACCTATCTGTACATTGTGAGAAAGAGTTCCAATGCCGTGGTCAAAAAAGGCAAATATACTTTGAACTGCACTGAAGAAAGGATGAAGGGGGCTTGAACAGCCTTCTCCTATCATCTCTCTTTCGTACTTAAGTCCTGAAGAAGAAAGGGGGATGGGCAGATGGAGGCCGAGAGATGCTTCACTTTGCTCCTGATTTACTGTATATTTACATAGCTTCAGGTCTGCTACATGTAATCCCCATTCACACTGGAAACATACTATATTGTGTACTTCACTGTTTTGACCTGGTACCCATTTCCCATATAATTAACTTGCATTCTTTTTAATTTTTCTAAAACAGGCTTCCAGGAATGACTGCTTTTGTCAAACCCAGCCTGACTGCTGATAAATGAAATCATAGGATCCACTTGCACAACAAAGCAGGCAATTCTCATTCCTTGTCAACAGCTTGGGCTCAGCAAATCCCAAGACGCCCTCTGTCGAAAGGAAGACGCTTCAAGAGGAGACATCAGAACATCCTTGTCAGAGCTCCCTCTACTGGTCCTGGCTGAGCTCAGCCCCCTTCCAAGAGCGCACAGGAGAATCCACGTCTCAGAGACAGAAGCTGTCAGAAGAGCATTATTTATTTAAGGCCTCGGTCTCAGAGGAACAAGCTATAGAGCCTTGGGCTTAAAAAGATCCTCATTCCAGGGAAAGGTCAGAGTCACGATTCAATGTTAGCTGCAGAAAACTCAGAAAAAAAAAACTCAAATGCATTGTAGGCAAATGTGTTCAGAAACAGCACTGAAGAAAGGAGTTATTTTTCACAATAAAAGCTATCCATCCAAATATGTCATATTTTCTGTAACTTAGCATAGATACCAGAAGGAGCTATCGAATTTTAAATTTAATTACTTTAAAAGTGCATTACTTTAATGACATCTTTTACAAATGTGTAAAGTATTTAGTAATCATTAAGTAACTAAGGAGTGATTCAGTACTTCATTTATTGGCTGATTCAAAGTCCTGGATTGGCATGGAATCCCACCACTGCCAGCTGCTTCTATGAAGACTCCTTAGGGCGGTGGCTCTGTGGCTAAGGATCTCGCTGCCTGCAGAGGAATCCTACTCTGTTGGGCCCCTGAGCAAGGCCCTTAACCCCAGCTGCTCCAGGGGTGCCGTATAAATGGCGGACCCTGCACTCTGACCCCAAGCTTCTCTCTCCTCGTCTGTGTGTCTCATGGAGAGCAGGCGAAAAGACAAATTCCCAATGCAAGAAATTATATATGGCTAATAAAGTGATCTTATGTTCTCTTAATTAATAAGATGGAGATTTCCCCTGCTTCAATGTGTCTTTACAGCCGACAGGCACAAAAAAAGCAATACCACAAGCTGCCAGTGGAGGGCCCCAGTAACCGCTACGACAGTACGTCCTTTTATATCAATACAGCCGCAAACATAGCTTGTTGAAAGTTGAAAGTTTTCTCTTCTTAATGTCAAGAAGCTGAATGTAAAAATTGAAGAATGATCTAGGAAAGAAATCGCTCATGATATCCGGAATTCAATTAAAGTGGCCGGAACAGTAACTAGCAGATTCTAGGATCTGAACTTGGAAGCAATGACATAGTACAGACAAAAAAGAAAAAGACTTTTGCTTTCAAACACAGCACAAATAATACCATAGGAAACTCCAGAATGTTTTTTCTGCAGTGAGTTGTCAGCAGAACGGGGATATTTTTAGCAACAGGCAGGCTAGTATCCTGCCAAGCTGAGAGGCTCTTGAATGCCCGTGCCCATTATGTCTGTTTCTGTGCCACAATGGCACCATTCACAGACAATATGATACCACTTCTCTGCAGCCGATATCCTGAAAAAAAAAGTTCTGCATTTTTTTTTAACTTCTCAGATCTTCTGGTCTTTTGCCTACTCTAGACTTCTGCTAATCGGCATCAATAAGACCAGACAGAAGGACAGAGCAAGAGATGAAAACCCCAAACAGTGAAGTTCAACCTGGCCAGAGGGTGGTTTATCTGTGGACAGTGAGGACCAGGAGACATCAGTCTTCATTTCTCCTGAGACTAGACAGTGACACTTTGGAGCCATACAATGATGCACGCAATAAAAATTTATTATATTTTAGAAAAAAATGACAAACAAAATGTCCTATTCAGTTAAAAGAAGCAACCTCCCTTGAGTTCAACTGATAAACGTCTTCCATCCTCACTATTGCTATCAGTCTGTACAGCATGTGCTGACAGCAGTGGTCAAATTCACCTTTAATTCTGTACCCTCAGAACTGTGTGGTCCTCCACTTGCTTCTGTTACATGATAAAACTACTTCTGGTGAACTTCAGCCATGAGCTCTTTGCTCTGCCTTGTGCTCCAGGGAAACTGACACAATGCAACATCACTTTATAAATTAAATAATCTCTAGTAGAATAAACACTAAGAGCTTAAAAAACGAAAAACAAAAATAAAAAATGAACAGAATGGAAATCCTATTTATTCTTCACAAGAAAACTGACGCATTGTATTTTGATTCTTCTTTTTGTAAATATACTATTTTACATTACAAAGTCTATTTATCATTTGGTGAATCATTGTGAACCCAAAATCAAAACAATGCTAAATCTTTTCAGTCGCACACTGTCTTGTTTATTTACAACCTCTGGGAACAGCAGACAGACCCACCTTTGTCATTGATGTCATTGTCTTTCTCACTGCCATTGAAGTAAATAATTTCCTTGACTTCAGTTTTATTAATAATAAGCATTCACATGTCCATGCTATTCAGGTAGTGACATCAGATTATACCAGCTTTATCACACTTTTTAACAATGACAAAGAAAATATAAAAGCCTAGTCTTGTTCTTTGAAATATAATTGAAATAAAGCAACCAAAGGTTAAGCTCACAGTTTAACAATGTAAAACAAAAAAAGAGTAAAAAATGAGTGGAATAAGATTCAACAATGAGGAAAATTGAAAATAGCTGTACTTAAACTACTTATACATTTAAAAGAACAGAAAATTTGATATTTCTTCCTTAAATCACCTACAGGCAGAGCAGTGATTCAAGCCAACACTTTAAGCAAAGCTCTGCAGGAAGAGGAAATCTCAGTCCACTTGAGTACTTACCAGGCGCAAGCTCATGTTCCCACAATACAAAGCATTGAAGGCCCTAATCAGCTAAGAGCCCTTGATGAAAAACACAAAAGCCTGGGGATTAAAAGTTTGAAATGCAAGAACTATTTGCATGTAAAAAGTGTTTTAAAAGTTGTTGGAGCGCTTTGCCCTTGCTGGTTCATGCAGCATTACTGTAACGTTCTGATTCCTCCCCTTCTCTTTTCCACACACACACAATTTGGGAGGACAAAAGTTTAAAACTAAACCTTTAAGTCGCTCTCCTCTGGCTTGTGGAAGGAGAGGAACGGAAGGGGAGTTCTTAAACAACAACACAACCAAAAGGCCTGTGCATACAGTAGCAGGACAGGTGCAAGAGAGCAGGAAGAGGAGGAGACAACTGGCTGTGCTCCCATTTTAAAACCAATCAGAACAGCAGGCTCCACGCAGAGACAGGAAGTGACTGTCTGACTCCGTTACGAGCAGCCAGAGAAAGGTCTCCGGACCTTATAGGAGCCAGCTACGTCTGCATTTCTCCAGCAGAAGGGAAAAGCCTCCAAGACGAGCAAGGAAAGGAAGCTGCCATCTTCTGAGAAGACAATATTTAAAGACTCGTTTTAAAGAATTTCACATCTATCACAGCAGAAACTTCAAACTATGTGTAAGGAATCCAAGAGAGGAAGTAAAAGGATCCTATGCAGACGAGAGAGAGTAGAGGCAGCACAGGTGTCCAATCCAAATCGTCTGACGAGTTTGTGGTCAAAGAGCAAACTAAGTCCAAACTAAGTCCAATGCAAATTAAGTCCGTCCAGCTCGAAGGAAGGCGTTGTTTGCCAGCGCCCAACTAGCTCAGTCGGTAGAGCATGAGACTCTTCATGAGATCTCAGGGTCGTGGGTTCAAGCCCCACGTTGGGCGGTGCCCGTCTGTGGAGCGGTGGCTCTGTGGCTCAGGATCTGCGCCTGTGGCTGGAAGGTTGCTGGTTCAAATCCCTTGGCCGGCAGAGGAATCCTACTACGTTGGGCCCCTGAGCAAGGCCCTTAACCCCAACTGCTCCAGGGGCGCAGTACAATAGCTGACCCTGTGCTCTGACCCCAGGCTTCTCTCCCTGTCTGTGTGTCTCATGGAGAGCAAGCTGGGGTATGCGAAAAGATGAATTCCTAATGCAAGAAATTATATAGGGCTCATAAAGTGATGTGATGTTAGTTATGTTAAAGCCAAAAGAGGTCTTTCAAAAAAGGGAGAGATAGGACAGCGGGGGTGATTAGTCAGTTGCTGAAACAGGTTAGCTCGTTTGTAGGTAGATCTCTGATAACTGGCGGTCAGGACACTATGCATGTATACTATACATTTATTCTATGTATTCAACACTACCTTCAACACAATCCCCAACAACAGTCAGTGATGGTAGCAGTCACACATCATTTAAGGCAGTAAAGACTGCTGGACCAAAACTGCCCAATAGAAGACAGGCTTCAAGTCTATTTCAACCTCCTAATGCAAGGATTATACAGAATGGGTTATAGGTGTGCCACATTTCTGTGTGTAAATTGTTCTCCACTGTTTTGTTTTTCTCAAAGGACTGGTGCTTTCCTGCTGTCTGAAATCCTCTGAATTCACTTGAGATGCACCAAAAGCAATAGGTTTTGAAGTAAATTGCCAGAATGAGTGCAACTTCAACAGGCACAAATACATTGTTTCCTCTCTGGATTTCACAGTTTTAGCTGCAAAAGTCAAATTCATACTGTAGGGGAACACATGTCCTGTCACTGCTTGGGATTTTAGAAGGCTGACACTATTAAGCATTACTGGATTCGGACAATATACCCATTTTTCTTTTGCAAGTGCATTTACTGAGCTTTACTTTACTGAGTCACGTTCAGTATACGCAAAAGCTCATTTTAACATCAAATCAAGTTCATTCTACTGCACAATGCAATTTAACCACACTGAAACAGTGTCGTTGTTTCAGTTACAAAACAGAAACAAACCAAAGCTGATCAGAGACTTCTTTATAATAACAGTTTCCAACTTGTCTCAGAATTAAATGTTCTTTTGTTCAATAACCTTACCTCTGTCATAGTCATCCTCTAGTATGGCATTTTCCTGAAGTCTTTTGAGCTTTAGTATCATAGATTCAATCTAAAGACAAAATAAATGGGAAAAATGTTAAACATTTCATTTTTTAAATGTTCAAATAAACACATTGCAGAAGTCAGTCTCAAGAAAGCAATACAAAGAGAAATAGTAATCCATGTGTGATGACTGCATGTGATCTCCAGGTTAATAATTAAAGTCAAGGTATGAGGTATGTAGGTGAAAGAAAGTTTCCAAATCAGGTAAGACAATGAAGCACAAAGGTTCTGCACATAACAATGTTGTATTTTTACAAAGACTTCAACTAGGGAACCTATCGGCCTTTCTTTCGAAAAAAATCTGTTATCACCCCTTTTTTTTTTTTCTTTTCCCCCGTTTTGGATTGGCCATTTGTTGCTTCCTTTTTTCTTTTTTCCTTCCTTGGTTCGAACCCTTTTGCTGGCCCCCGGGGGGGATTGGGGAGTTGCGGGCGGCTTCTTCCCTTCCCCCGGCTTTCCGGCCACCGGTTTTTTGGCCCTTCCCAATTCCCTTCCCCTGGCGGGGGGGTTGATTGGGGGGGGGGGGTTGTTTTCTTTGCCGGCGGCCCCTTTTTTTTACCCTTTCCCCCCGGGCGTTCCCCCTGGGTTTTTTGCACTTGTTGGTTGGGTTGGGCCCGGGGCACCTATTCCCACCCTGACCCTGGTGGCACTCACCCCACTTGGCAAGTCACTCGGGGAACCCCAATCACACTGAATGAGTGAGCCGACCCAGACTCGAACCCTTGATCAGAGAGCTCCATCCAGGTCTTGCTTGGGCAAGCACTCTTAATGACGGAGCCACCGGAGAGTCCCCACCACCCCACCCCACCCCTCCTCTTCCCATCAGTTTACTTACCTTTATGTTGGTCCGGTTGCCCTGGAGACAGTCCTGCAGGACCGCTTCGTACTTCTTCATGAGCGCATCCCAGCCGTGGTCCGAGCAGGGCGTGCTGCTCTCGTAGCCCGAGGTGACCGAGGAGCCGGCCGACGCGGCGTCCGAGGAATCCGCCGACAGGCAAGACGTGGCTTCAGTGTCCAGGGAGATGGAGTCCGAGTCCCGGAGACTCTCTTTCATGCCAGCCCTGGTCTCCTGAGAGCCCCCCTCACTCCGTCTCTTCTCCCAAGACGGGCCCTCCCCGTCCCTCCACAGCTCGGCACAGAGGAAGTCCTCCTTGTTCCGCCCTGGGGACACGGATCCGCCTTCGATTTGGCCTCCCGTCGCCTCTGCTGTGCTGGGGAGGCGCCCGCTCTCCTCCGAGGGCTCGCTCACGGAGTCCGGCCCGCGACTCGAGATCAGCGAGAGCCGGATGAAACTGAAGCTGGAACTGAAGGGCTCCCCGGGTGGACCCAGAAACTCCTCCGCACCGCTCAGACGGCTGGACCCTTCTTCCAGCTCCCGATCGCTCTCGGGCTTCTTCCGGTTGCTCCCTGGCGCTGAAGCGCTTTCCTCCTGAGGAAGGTCTGCGGCGAAGCACCTTCCATAGCCGAGGCCTGGGCCCCCCTGGTCGGCTTTCGAAAGCTGGCGCCTACGTGGCGATTCGTGTACCACTAAGCACGACTGGGAACTCGGGCTGTCGGAACAGAACGGGCCGGAAACATGGTGTTGACCGGAGCTGGGCTTTGGGGTCTCTGCTGGGACACTGCACCCCGAATCGGCCCTGTGAACCTCCCCGTTTTTCGCAGGTCGTTGACAAGGCCTTTTGCTGACCAGCTCAGCGGGGAGCCCCCGCTGCTCCTGCAGCCCACCTCTCATGTACCCTGGCCTCCTGTAGAGCTTTTTCCTCCGAGAGCTGCTTCCTCTGGGCACCAGAACCGGGTCACCTGGCGAAAAGATGGAACAAAGATCAGCAGGGCTTTCAAATCCATTAGAATCCATTAGAATCCGAAACAACTGCAGATTCTCTCCAGCGCAAAGCCCAAACAGAAACACCTCCACTCTCATGCGCGACACCAGGCGTACCATGAATAACTGGCACCAAAACTGTTCCCAACTCGAGGAAGCGCTCCAGATGTGCTGTAGTAATTGCAGGGCCCAGGCAAGGAGCACAGCTGTTGTGAATTACAGCATTCAGCCCTGCAGTTCTTCCTGTTGTCTCAATCATCTCTCTGTTCCACAGCACCAATATATCAAACATGGCTTCAACGCATGAATGCGCTTTAATTCTGTTATTACAGGGACATTAAAATGTATTTTATCTGAGAAGGCAATTATTTTGTGGGACTAATTTTTTACGTATATCTAAATCATAACTCTGGGCCTCGATCGACATTTACATCCACGCAAATTAATAACCGGAACCCATAGAATATGGGTATATTTTTATTCCATCAGCATCCTACACTGCCTTCCAACGGCCGTCAAGGGTGTCTTTGTCTCCCCATCTTTTCCAATGGCGCACTGTATCATGTGACACAAAAGATGCCACTAACTTGCCCACACAGGCAAAATACTGATGCATTCTAAACCAAGACCAGGGGAAAAAAACACTGGTGACATTCAAGGCCCTGAATGCATGCTAAAGTCATGTCAGGAGCCAAAATAAACTGAATGTCAGTATAAACTCAGCATGTCAAATCCCTAGGTTTAGTCCTAACTTCTCATTATTGCATAAAAACAATCGAAGGACAAAGCCTTAATTTTCAGATCAAAATTAAATGTATAAACCACACACTTAGGTATGGAGTAAATTCCTCAGATGTGATTTAAAATTAGATTCATTTCATTTCTTACCATTGCAGACATTTAGTCTGGCAATTATATTGGACAATTAAGAACCCTAAGTATTAAGAGCCATAAACCACTAAACATTAGCAAGAATCAAGACATGTGTTACTCATACCATCCTTCGCATTTAAACCACCTGTTGTAGTGCTGAATTATTACTTATATTCAAATAATCATTTGTGTGCAATGTAATTTATGGAACTCACTCCATTCTCTTAAAGTAGTAAAATCATGTAAGTCGAGAGGGTGTAACACAACTATTTTCTATAGAAGAACAATCAGACACAAATGAAAGCTAGAACAACATGTTTTATCTAGAGATTGGAGGCTCAGGTTTCATAGCTCTGTCTAAAGCTTACTCCCTGGGCTAGAATGCATTAAACCCTAAATGACATGTGAGACAAGAGAGGGCCAGTGTCAAAAGAGAACTGTCTTGGACCAGGATCCAGTTACACATTCCCCATATGTCAGAGAAATTGTGTCGCTTTGTTCTGCAGAAATAGTTTTCCAGTTCAGGACATCAGACCAGCACTACACAAGAGTCCTTCTTGCTTTCAGAGCAGGAAGGAAACTGTTAAAAGAATCTATTGTGAAGCACATGAAGCAGGCTACATCACTCAGCTTGCATTTACGTATTTGCGGTAAACTATGTGGTATCAAAATCGGGATGTATCAAAGTTCCCTGCACTACAAAATAGCACCACAGAACGGCCAGACTCATGTTTTTGCTTGACACTGAAGCTTGACGCTCACTAAAGTCTATCTTATTTACACTCCAGGCACTATTTAAAAAAGCAGTAAGCAAAATACGTAACATTTTAAGCCAAGAAAGGAAACAAAATGCCCTTTTAAATTAAGTCCCCCCTCATTCACCAACTTGTAACTCTTATCTCTTTGAATAGAGCTCCATATTTACCTCAAGGATTAAAGTAGGAAATTCCAGGATCCCTGCTGTTTGACAGAAGGTTTGAGAAGACCCCTTGAAAATGGTTTGTTCACACAGCAAACAAATGGTGTTCTGCCACAACTGGCTGTTAAACCATCCACCACACAAGCAACGCAATTTTAGACCAGGACTTTTGCAGAAAAGGAAGTGAAATTGGCATTTCTCAACCTTCATCTGGCTGTATCCTGTGCAAGAAGAAGCTGTGAATCATGGGGTGAAGTATTGGTACAGAGGCTCTTGTCTGGGCCTTGAGAGAATGAAATCTAAGGTAGAAATATAATAATACAGCTCTAATGACCCCATTGCCAGGCTTGAATCCTGTCCACAGTCACTGTAAGCAGCATGAGACACCTCTAAGGCAAAATAATCTGCTTGTCTGCTTATTTCGCTTCTGTGTTAAAATGGAATTAACCAAATTTCATGTCGCTATATTTCAAACTTTTCTAAAAATTCTCAGGAATACATCCTAAAACCCAGCAAGTGAGGCTCAACCTCATTTCCCTTTGGAGACCCTCAGATGCAAATGGACAAGACCCTGTCTACCAATATGCAGTTACAGAGTGATAAGATGATCACAGAAGTCTGTCCGAGCCTGACCGGAGTGCAGCACATATCTCCATAGACTACCTAATTTTTTTATTTTTTAAAGCGGGGTTTCTATATTAAACCCTGTAATTTACTTTCATCGACTGGGCCTCAGCACAGCACAGCAAAAACGCCTCAGCACAGAAAGTTATACAGAAAACATCCTGTTAAGTCATGTGGAAACACAAAGCTATCACAAGCACGTTGCCTGTAGGCATAAATAAATAAATGAGAAAATTCAAAATCTTTTCTAAGAAGAAGTGCAACAGAAAAGGGGTATTTTAAGAAAGTAAGAATTTAACAAGAAATAAGGAAGTCCAATACCAGTAACTGAAACAAAAGCGATTCTCCTCCATAATCATTTTTAATCTCTAGGCTGCTCAGGCAACAAAACATGACTAATGGCCTTTGAACAGAAATAAAAATGTCAAAACTAGTAAGATACAGCAGACGACAGTGACGAAAGGCCTTCATAATACAGTTTTTACATTTCTTTGCTTTTTAAAAAGCATAAATGAAAGACAGACTAAGATTAATGGCAAACCGATACAGCATAAAACGCAAATAAACGAATCATTTTTTTTTCCTGTGGAGGAATTATTCTACATCACCTTTAATTTCGTTTTTTAACCAGCAGAAAACCATTCATAGCTTCTAAGAACAATATTACAGACTATTTTAATGTTTCTGTTTCTGTTTTCTGTAATAAAGGCACAACATCACAACTTGAGGTACAGAGTACTCTATTTGACTTCTGTTGTCTCTCCACAATATTTTTTTTCTCTATTAACAATAATCTCCCTTCAGATAATTCCAAAATACAGAATGCTATGTAAAACTGCCTCTATCGGATTTTCTGCCTGTGAAAATGCAGACCCCAAAACTGTAAGATTACAAAGCTAAAAAAACTGATAAAGAGAATTCAAAATGTACAGAATTCAAATTCTTTTTGTCAGATTAATGTGAAGTGTCTACTTATGCTACATACTGCAGATTCACTGCTCAGGCTCATACAGTATGTATGTCAGCGAGAACTTGAAAAACAAGCTCCACACATGATCAAACTTCAAAGACTTTATTAACGGTCATCTGAAAAACCTTGTTTTTCGTGTGCTTGCTTTATGTGCTCACTAGTTTCAGGTTTACTAGAAATATGGCTTCCCTTGTTGGAAAATCGTGTCATTCAGGCCAATGACGTTTGGATTAATATAGACTGGTTTTATGTTAAGAGACGACTTTATGCATAAATAAATACACAAACAATTCTGACATTAGCACCGGGGCCTTCGTTTGTTTTTAAACTAGCAAGTAGCATCTATGTTTATTCAACAACAATCGAAAACATCTCTGATCTTGAAGACGGGGGTAAACTTTTCAGGCTGTCTTGGAAAAGCGCACACAGTATCTGCATCAGGGTTGAGGACTCGAGTTCCCTGTGATATGACGGTTTGGGAAAGCTGATTGGACTGAACGTCGGACACGCAGCTTTGCTGTGCTGTAACATCTCAAATTCAACTTTGTCCTCAGATCTGCGTTCTGTGCGTGCGTGTCATTCAGGAGACACGTCTAAAATGCTTGCTTGCCCGTACTACAGTTAAAAACTGTAGAAATGCGACGATCACAGATTAATTCACAATTCTAATGTAAATCCCTGCAGTGTGAATGTTCAGATTATTAAAAAAAAAAGTTAGCCTAACGTCCGATCATCTACAAATTTGAATTAAACAGCAGTCATGGGAAATTTCATTTTTTTAACCAGGGCTAGATGTGTTACTTTAAAACCTAAGGGCAGTCAGAGGTTTTATAAACGCATTGCGTGACTTCCTAAAATATCATATATTGTGTTACATGTTTCAGCATTTCAAAAAACATTTTGGGTCATGCCGTTTTTGTGCTCATCACGCGCGATTAATTTCCCCCAAAAAACTCCTTGCAAACTTGCAGTTCACAGAACTCGGCTGACGTTTCGCTCAAAAGTTGGCCGCAGTGCAATTTCTTGTAACGAATCTGGCTCAGGCGGGTAGTGGTAACTGTGATCACAAAACAGATGCAAAAATAAATAAACATTTGGATACAACTGAAACCAACCAACACTATGAATAGATGTGAAAATGTTTTCAGGGGCGTTTGTGTTTATCAATCGAACTCGCAACATTGTTCAAATCCGAGTTTTTACAGCTTCAAAAACCGGTGCGGACATTGAATTGTAAAACAAAACTACAGTATTTTACAGTTATCGAACCGCAAACTATTAACGTTCAAAGAAGATATAACATAAGAGAAGAACATGCATAAAACACCGATGATGTCAATCGTGTTTAATAAAGCGCAACGCAGTTGAACAGATTTAGACCTCGCAACGCTTTATAGTAAATAACGCCAATAATTACCTGGCCTGAACCCAGCATGGTGCCGGTGGTTGACGTGCGTGATGCTGTCAGTGTCAGAGATCGGCATGGAGGGGACTTCGCCCCCTACCTTCACCATCCCGGTAAACATTTTTTTTGCAAGGAGCAAAAAAACAAAACAAAACAACAAAAGCTGTTATGTTTCCAGAAACGATGAACGGGTGAAAACGGACATCTTTCCAGTCTGCCTAGGAATTCCCTTCTCTGGCGGAGCTCTGCAGAAAGAAAATCACACTGAAGTCATTTCCGCTCGGGAAAGTGTTTCCCCTAAAAATAAAATTCCAAGACTCGCACCGCTTCCTTCGCGTTTTGTGTCCCCTGTGTGGCCTGCGTTAAAAGAAGACGCCGGCGTGTCTTTAGTGTGTTTCGTCTTCAGCCTTCAGCTCACTAACAGCACTGCCCTTAAACCAGGCAAAATCCCAGGCAGCGCTTGATGACAATTCCTGCCACTTCCCAGTGGGAAGAATAACATTCGGCAGTTTGATTTTGTTTTTACGGAGCGCGGCGCAATCTTCCAAGGGTTACGCAGAAAAAAAAGGCTCGGCGCTTTCTGTTCCGTGCTAACATTTTCTGCCGTCGTATTCCAGATACAGCCCGCGGCGCTTTATGCCGTTATGCGCTCCATTGTGAAGCCCAGGAGTTTCCTCTGGCTGTGAGATGAAATCCGAAACCGCACGCAGTGCCGGAGCCGCCTCCCTCGGCTCTGGGATGACTGGGAAGCGCTAGCTGGATGTGCAAACGAGTTAAACAACGAAATTATGTTGGGACGCCACTTAAATGGTCAGCATTCATTCTGAATATCAAAAGCGGGTGTTTTTTTCCCGTTAAAGACTAAACTGTATTGCCTATGGAAAATGTGTCAAATGGTGTCGATGGACATGAAGGCGGTGGTCTTCCTGTTGGGCAGGAATTTCCAATCCCCCCTATGATGTGTGTCCACCCCCCTTCTAAGATAGTTTGGCCTACAAAAACATCCCACAGGACTTTAAACAATCTCTCCTCGATTTGCGAACCCTTATTTCTCGGTGCACAGCCCCCAGAAGGTGATGGGTTTCCGATGAACAGATCCAGGCGAGACGGACGTTGTGTCAGACACCCTCAGCGAGCTTTGCTTTCCATCTGCAGAGGTCCAGGCGTTTCCATTTCCGACGACACACCTGTGCGCAGGTAGTTCTGAAACACAGAATCTGGTACAGAGTTGATTCTAATTAAGACATGAAAGGTTTTCAAAAGTCCCACTGGACCTTTTCACGTCCATCCACCCATGTTCTAGCCCCTTGCTCCTGCTGAGGGTTGCTGTGATGACTGGCCGAGCAGGGCAGCCCAGAATTTCCTTTCCTTTCCCCGGCAACAGTCTCCAAGTCCTCTTGCGGGACTCTCAGGAGCTCACAGACCAGCTGAGAGAACCCTCCCCCCCCCAGCCTGTCCTGGGTCCACCCTGGGTCCTCACCAGATGCCCAGCCCTTCTCAACTGACTCCTCTCGATCCAGAGGAGCAGCAACTCCACTCCAACGTCCTCAACTCTGTGAAACAGACTAAAGTAACTGTTTTTTAAATACTCCATTGCCCCCAAATGGAAAACTGAAATCGACTAGACTGCAACTGTTCATTTACAGTATATAGCTGACCCTTTTATCCAAAGGTACTGTGGAGATGGCCTTGTGTGTAAGGACCCTTATATAATTAATAATAATATCTTCTTAGACTTATATAGCGCTCTTCTGGACACTCCACTCAAAGTGCTTTACAGGTAATGGGGATCCCCTCCATCACCACCAATGTGCAGCCCCACCTGGATGATGACAGCAGCCATAGTGCACCAGAACACTCACCACACACCAGCTCTCAGTGGGGAGGAGAGCAGAGTAATGAAGCCAGTTCAGAGATGGGGGTTATTAGGAGGCCATGATTGATACGGGCCAATGGGAAATTTATCCAGGATACACCCCTACTCTTTTCGAGAAGCACCCTGGGATTTTTAATGACCACAGAGAGTCATGACCTTGGTTTTACGTCTCATCCAAAGGACGGAGCCTTTTTACAGTATAGTGTCCCCGTCACTACACTGGGGCATTAGGACCCACACAGGCTGCAGGGTGAGTGCTCCCTGCTGGCCCTACTAACACCTCTTCCAGCGGCAGCCTCAGCTTCTCCCAGGAGGGCTCCTATGCCGGTTACTGACCAGGCTCACACCTGCTGAGCTCCACTGGGTTGCCAGTTGTGAGTTACAGTATACAGTATGAGCAAGACTTCAGTGTTTGCAAGTTGCAGAGGTTAGGCGCTCAAGTGCTGGTGTCAGAGCAGGTGCTCAGTGCTCAGACATGAGAGGTATGTGCTGCCCTGTGATGATGCACTTCACACATGTAAGCAGAATCGAGTTTTACAAATAAGAATGACCTGATAAAAGCAGAGGGAAAGCATAAGAAATTGTTCCCAAAGTGTTGCCTTGGGTTTGATCATTTCTAGTGAAACACAAACTGCAAAACCCCTTCCTCTCTTAAGAATTAAAATAATTTGATAAGGTAAAAACATGTGAAAGCCTAACTTATAATGTTTTTTCTTACCTTTTGCTACCAAACACCACCACATATCTTAGTATATTAATAGTATATCAATGTATCAGTACTGCAGTTAACAGAGCCCCTCTAACAGGAGATGAAAAGACATTGCTTGTGCAGCGCTGTCTCTAATGTGCTCTTCCAGGCAGCCAGAGCCAAAAGGAATGCCCGGGCCATTTTGTGGCGAAACGGAGCTTTGCTTGGAAGTCTACTGTATGGTCGCAGTGTCGGGGTGGGGGACGTATCCACTCCGCCGAACTGTAATTCAAGTTCTTTCATGCTGCTTCTAAACAGAGGTGCACTTGTTCCCCGTCTCCTCTCCTGTCTCGGTAGACATGAACTCTCTGTGAGAGAGCATCGCCTTTTAAACCAAGCCGGGTGAGAATGGCATGTAGGCATTTACCCTTTCAGCTGCAGAATAAATGAAGGCGTTACACACTGGCCCCCAGCTGGCCAAGCTTGAAACTGGAAATGAGATCTAGTTTCAAAATGATAAAAAATACACCGGGTGCCAAAGAAACTGCATTAGAGGTTATGAATATGCCATGCTTTGCCACGTTTTCAGTTGACATTCTGGGAGATGCAAAACTGTACCGCGGCTGTGAAGTCGTGTCCCTTTCGGTTGTTCATTGCGTCGCAAGGAACAGAATATAATTAAATTAAATGAGGCGTTTAACTCTTTCTTTCAGTCTGGTCAAGTGCAGGTTCATACACACATTTGTTTCAATCCGAGTTTATAAAGACACGTTAAGGGCAAGGGTGGTGGAGGGATCACAGTTTCACCGTGCGTGCCTTTTGCTCTTTACAAAAATGTCAGTGTCTGTTAAAGACAAAATATACCCAGCAGCGCTATCGAAGGTTCATTTTTCGCCACTGAGGAAGATGTGTCTCCCCGCAGATATCCAGCAAAAGTGAAAAAGTTCAACCGTAGCTCGGCATTGCCACCTAGTGGGAAGATGCTGAACTGCAGTTATTTTTAATAAATCGGGTTTATGTTCACTACTACTGCAGTTGCACATAATAATAATAATAATAATAATAATTGCTTACACTTATATAGCAATTTTCTGGACACTCCACTCAAAGCGTTTTACAGGTAATGGGGACTCCCCCCATCACCACCAATGTGCAGCCCCACCTGGATGATGCGACAGCAGCCATAGTGCACCAGAACGCTCCCCACACATCAGCTACCAGTGGGGAGGAGAGCAGTGTAATGTAGCCAATTCATAGATGGGGTTTATTAGGAGGCCATGGTTGGTAAGGGCCAATGGGAAATTTGGCCAGGACACTGGGGTTAGACCCCTACTCTTTTTGAGAAACACCCTGGGATTTTTAATGACCACAGAGAGTCTGGACCTCGGTTTTACGTCTCATCCAAAGGACGGCACCTGTTTACAGTATAGTGTCCCCGTCACTATACTGGGGCATCAGGACCCACACGGACACAGGGTGAGCGCCCCCTGCTGGCCCCACTAACACCTCTTCCAGCAGCAACCTTAGTTTTTCCCAGGAGGTCTCCCATCCAGGTACTGACCAGGCTCAAACACATGTTAATTGCTATGGCTAGGTTAACCCATTCATTAGCTACCTTATTTGCTAAGCATTAAGCTTTTGCTCTGAGTTTGGAGTATTGCATGGTGCTGTTTTTAAGCAAAGGTTTGAACGTTTATATTACACATACAGCATGATATTTTGTGAGGCATAGATATTTGATCTGTGCCTGACCTTGTGAATTGGCAAGTGAATGGGCGCTAGTTTTTAATCTAACTCACCGCATTTTTTAAGGAAACACTTGTGACTATCATACACATGGAAGCTTACTGCTGTATTCACTTGTAAGAGAGAAAGCTGCTCCTTGACATTTTGGCAATTAGAGAATAAAGTCAGTCAAGATCAGCAACAAACTAAAATGGTTACACCGAAGAGCAGACCATTCAACTCACTCACTGCCTTTGGTTGTAAGTAGCTCATTGATTCAAGTATCCCATCCTGCTGTTTCTTGAAGGCTCTCTAGGAACATGGCTTCAACACAGCAAACCAGCATGTTCAGACACCCACAAAAAGGGCTTCTTGTTCCAAGTTCTATGACACCTTCTTTCCCGTGACCAGTAACTTCCAATCCATGGGGATTAACTCTGTCATTGCCTTTTCAACATGATTTTCAACACTTGGGTGCACTTACAGCCTTCATGCTGTCCTGAACCTTACTACCGGAAAAGTACTCCCCTGTGTCACAGCTGAGGAAAGTGTTCCAATCTTCCAGTTAATATATGGCCCATCCCTCCACAAGGAGGCAGGATGGTATTCGTTTTTTTTTTTTGCTTTTCAGTACTGGTTCATAGTACTCAAGTAAACCGTTTAGGGTTAACAAAAGAAATGAACGATAAAAAATATTAATTAGATTGACAGAAGTAAATTATACTAATTATGATCATGAGCTGGGAAATGTATGAACTTTGATGAAATATTCCAAAACCAATATGCAGCTGCATTGATTGTGCAATCCATATTTAGTGGATAATAATAATTGCTTACACTTACATAGCACTTTTCTGGACACTCCACTCAAAGCGCTTTACAGGTACTGGAAACTCTCCTCCACCACCACCACCAGTGTGCAGCCCCACCACCTGGATGATGTGACAGCAGCCATAGTGCACCTGTACTCTCCCCACACACCAGCTCTCAGTGGGGAGGAGAGCAGAGTGATGAAGCCAGTTCAGAGATGGGGATTATTAGTAGGCCATGAAAGGGAAATTTGGCCAGGATGCCGGAGTACGACCCCTACTCTTTTTGAGAAACAGAGTCAGGACCTCGGTTTTACTTGTCATCTGAAGAACGGCGCCTTTTTATAGTATAGCGACGAAGCGAGACAGGATTGGAGAGCCACGATGATCCATGGAAAGCGAAAGAAGAGCCTGTCAAGACATGGGGCATGTCAGGGAGAACCAGAGCGCTGAGCAGCATCTACTGGAGATGACCTGGCCGATACGGCAGCAATTAACAAACCCAGCGCCGCGCTCCTCTGTCTACGGATCTACACCACCGCACAAGGCGCCCGGTTTAAACAAGCATGTTGTGTCTCATTGACTTATTTTTAAAACACCGGGTATTAAGAGAAAAATGCGCGACACAGGTGATGAGTAAAACAAACAAACAAGCCAAAGGCACCAAAGGCAAATGTCCTGGATGTTCAAAGGCTGGTGGCATTATTGGGGAAAAATAAATTACCATGACGGTAACAGATGTGACGTAGACGCCTTCGAATTACAGAACAGACTTTAATGGCCCACGAACACAAACAATCCCATGCTTTCTTACCATAGTCTGGTTAATGCAGAGCCAGACCTTCAACAACTACGCCCACACAGGAGGTTTAACACCGGAGGCACGGGGCCGGCAGCTGAGCAAAGCTAACGCTAATTGCCAACCCGGCAGCCAGCCCCCTTTCGCAGAACCCGTTAGGAAATCCCCTCGTCGGGGTCGATTAGCGCCGCCCTGGTGGTGAAAACATCCGCCAGCATGTGGGTGGGGATCTCGGAGCCCCGCACCCGGAGGGTGTAGCAGGCGTCCTCCACCTTGCCCAGGCTCTGCTTCAGCGTGTACAGCTTCTTGGAGACCTCGTAGGGGCCGGTGTTGCCGATGTAAGAGAAGCCGTCGTAGATCTGGCGCAGGAACTGGCTGAGCTGGAAGGGCGTGTCGATGTCGCCGTTGCCCACGCTGTTGATGCACATGCGCATGAGCTCCCCCGTCAGGTCCGCGATGCCCAGGAGGTAGTCGGTGGGGGTCACCTGGAAGTACACGGCTCCTTCTCGGCTCTCCTGGATTGACTCGGAGGAGGTACCCTGGTCACCGTGGAAAACACAAGCAGATGTGAAACGTGCTGGACAGGGGAAAAGAGTCCTTATTTTATAAGCATCCTAAGAAAAATTCTGCAGTTTTTCATAACCAAAAAGGCTGAACTCGGCTAACAAGGTGAAACTTTTCATGTCTGCAGAAAGAGTCACATCTTTAAAAAATTAAATATCACAGAAGCCTCCAGTGTCAGATATGCTTCAGCCATGGTCTCTTTACAGACCTTTTTCTGTGTTTGACAACATTTTGTTTTTACTCAGATAGCATCCTGTCAGTCTGCTCTGGGCGTACCAACTTTCTTTTTGTCCTTACAAAAGAAACATCACTGAACGTCTGGTAAGTAAACCGTTTGGTTAATTAACGGGTGAAAACAGCGCTGTAGGATTTCTTAAACAAAACCCCTAAACATTTTAAGAAGACTCAAATGCCAAACAAATTTTGTAATTTTTGTCCAAAGAACAACAGTACCTCAGCCTCTTTTGTATTGTCTTTTACAAAAATTAACTTCTTATTAATTTCTTCCAGGCTGATTAACGCACGTTCTTTGATGAAGTGCTGAAAAGATATGGCTTCTACATATTCCTGGATCCCTGAAACACAGTAAGGGAATATTGTTAGAGCACAGCAAAGTGTGACAGCTCCTTTAAGTGGTGTGAAAAGTACACACACATGCATGCTGCTATTCCACACGGCTTCTGACGGCTTTCTGAAGGAAAAGGAAAGAGGAAACAGTGAAGACAGCTGGGGAGTCTTCTTCAGGTGTGTAGAGGAATGAGGGGGAGAACAGAAATATGAAGCCAAGAAAGAGCAGACATGAGACTAGATAGGAGACAGGAAAAGGGGGATAATGAAAACCATGAAAATATGGGAACCGAATATCAAGGGAAGTGTCAAAGGCAGCAATCCAAAAATGAATCCAAAAAAGAGATTAGTTGATCATTGAATACAATGGGAAGGAGTACAAATATGCGAGGTGAGACGGGAACCACTGAGTAGTAAACACAAATATTGGGCAATACCTTGCTTATGTACATAAATAAAAATTAGTATGAAATAAAAATCTTTGCATTACGTTTTCCAAAACCAGTGCATTGCACAAACTCTGGGAAAAATCTGTTACATATGATGGTCCAAAGCATATGTTCAGGAAAATGAGCAAACGATTAAGGGAAGAAGTTAGAGGAAAACAGCTCTCACTCAGATAGAGAATGCCACATACTCGCTTGTTACTGAGAAACACTGGGGAAGAAAGTGGATGAGATGAAGGCAAAATTTTCCTCCTTTCTACCTCTTTCTCTAGACAGATATAATGTGATTTAGTATTCATGTAAGGCTGTAGGCAAGAAATCTAGGCAAACAGCTTAAACAAAAAAAACTTCAAATACATAGGAGGACTTCACATCACATAAGGTAAAACAATTCCAAATCAGAAAGGTTATAGCTGAGCATCCAAGATACTATATCTACAATGATGACTGAAAAGAGTTCATTTTTAAGTTAGATTTAAAAATGCAATTAACATCAAATATCTGTCTATTTCTGGCCACATTGCTACAACCAGTATCAATAAATATGCACATACAGTACGTTGTTTATACTTTCAACACATGCTTTACTTTACTCTGGTATTATGTAAAATAATACATCACATTTCCTTCATTGTTAATTCTAGATAGTATATTTTCCTAATACATTTCCTTAACATTGACAAGGTTAGTACCTTAGTTAAACAGGTCCTTACTATGCTTATAAATTAGTAACCTGCTGTTGTTTATCTGTGTGTTTACAATGTAATTTTTATACATGCTCATCTTCTTTTTCATAAAACGGGTTGGACTTAATCTATCTTGTTGTGAGAAAAAAAAACAAAGAACATGAAATGGCTTCAAAATCTGGTTTTCTAACAAACCATTTTTTTGTAGATGCAAATGATTACAGAATAACTAAGATAAAGGAAAGCGACTGCTGGTTCTACTGGCAACAGCAGTGCCAACGAGAATATTCAGAATAATTCCAAATTCTCCTGCAACAACAAGTCTGTCTCCTGCGTGTGAAAAACGGAGTAAAAATAAACGCTGCTGAACTCTTGTGCAATCCTAGCTCAGAAAATTAGACCCCGGATGCATACGTGCGCCACTCTTATTTCCCAAGCAGCCATCCACACTAACGAAGCAAACAATGACAAAACACTGTGTCAAGCAGAAGATTAATAACCTCAGAAAAATGTGACACAACAAAGGATGTCAGCAAATAAAGAAGAGTGGCGACGAACATAGGGGCAGGAATTTAGTCGGTATGAACCTGATAAGAGCCATGCGTGTTTATCACCCCGCGTCTCCGCTGTTCAAAGTACTTTACAACCTGGAGACACCGACCAGTGCTTCATCTCTCAGACACTCACCTCAAATATTTCAAGTGTTAATTTGGAAGTTTTGAAAAACTATATAATTTGGTATTATACATTTATAAAAAAGTCAAATGTGATATCAGTTACAATGCATAATTATCTATACTCATCTGAGTACATTATTTCAAATTTTTGAATATGCTATTTTCCGGGGCATACTTAGTAAGTCACAGACATGGAAATGTCCTGGGAGTTTCCTACTGGTCAGATCTAAAGAGCCTGTTGACTCCTCCAGTCTTCCTATAAGCATTGATCATCTGCAGTATATACAGTACATCATCTAGCGCCAGGCAGACGCTGGTGTTTGTGTCTGCTCCATTTCAAGCTTTGTGTTATATCACATGCATGCCTGGGACACAACCTCCAGTCACAGTGGGCCTGGGAAGCATGACAACATGATAGATCTGCCACACACTGGGTTCAGAGACAGTCAGCATCAAGCCTATTACATCAGAAAACTCTCGTTAAGCAGCAAGATCCACTCTTGGTCCAAGTTTCCCATGAATCTTACGGCCGTGCACTTTCTCAGGACCTACACTGGATTTTTTCCCCACCTTCTCCTTATAAAGCTCCTGTCTAATTGAAGGTCTGGTATGAAGTTGCTTCTGCAGGCAGTGCCTAGTCACATACTGCATATTGGGGTGTGTTTTTAAAGCAGGGATAGAGAAGCTCAGTTTCGGCTCATGGCACTGGAGGTGCACCAGCCCCAGTTCCCCCTCCTTGCCCTGATGCACCTACTCTGCCATAAAGCAAAATGGATATATTTTGCATAAAACAGCCTACTTATACTTTAAAATCTTGCCTAAGCAAGCATGCAAAAACCATGCTAGACTGAAAACAAAAAGACAAGTCACTGGCTTCCTGAGCAGCAGAAAAGGAAAGGAATACCAGGAGGGTAAACATAGGAATGTGCAGCCAGTAGGAGCCACATGGATCCAGTAGAAAAGACTCAAATCAAAGACTCAGTGCATCCCGAAACATCCTATTAGCATCCTATTACCTGTGAAAGGCACTATATAAACAAGGTGGTACTGACTTCATCAAATAAAGCAGTGCAAAAACTGTTACAAATAATCATTAATCCCCCGCCCTCCCAAAAAAAAGTCACGTCACACAGAATTTTAAATTCATCAATCATTAATCTCCCGCCCTCCCAAAAAAAAGTCACGTCACACAGAATTTTAAATTCATCAATCATTAATCTCCCGCCCTCCCAAAAAAAAGTCACGTCACACAGAATTTTAAATTCATCAATCATTAATCTCCCGCCCTCCCAAAAAAAAGTCACGTCACACAGAATTTTAAATTCATCAAGGCCGCAGCTGACATCATGCAATCAAGGAGCTCCCCACCCAAGAATTGAGAAATCACAAGCATCAAATAGATCAGAAAAAATACATCAAGAGAGACAAACTTCTGGAAGGACGGAGGCTGTTGGTAGGAGCATGTGGGGTGCGTGTCTTGCCCTTAAGATTGCAGTGCTCACCTCCAAAGTGCTCTAACTAATCCGGAGATAATTCCCGACAAAGGCAGACACTGAACAGAAAGTGTGTGTGTGGCACACCTACTCCCTTTGCCCCTATGTGCTTGAATCAAACAACTGTCTTTACGCATGTCTGTTTATCATCCCTATCTGTCATCATGTGCAGGAGTGCAGAATGAACTTGGCACACATCTGCAGTGAAGAATTACAACAAGGCACCCTACAGCCAAACAAGGACAGGTCTGTCCCTTCCTCTGCACCTAGATAAAGGATTACGCAAAAGCGTCTTATTGCATTGATAACAATTAACTCCCCGATTTATTCACACAAGCAAAGCTTAAATAAAAAGTACATATGCTGTCATACTGTACAGTGTACATAACTTTTAAACTACAGAATTCAAATGACATTTTTTACTAATCCTGTGGGATCTACACCAAAAAGACGTTGTTTATTATACGCAAAATATCTCTGACTATTTCCAGAAAGTTGAAATGTTTTATATTTTAAGAAATCTGCTTAGAAGTTGGGATCTGACTTAGAAGTTGGGAACAGTTTCATAGCTGCAGGACAAGAAAGTCAATACTATCTATTTAAAAAAATGATAACACCAACCACCGTGATGTAAATCAATGATAATCCTCATTATTAATTCTGTGAACCATTAAAGGGATTTTTTTTTTACCTAATCATATTATACAGTATTTTATATGTACATGGATGTGTTAAGACCTTATTTCGATACCTCCATCAAAAATTGGGTTTCAGACATTACAGTGTGCACAGACTGAAGCTATGGCTTGTTATTTTGAATCACCTCACTTAACCAAGGTTAGGTACTTTGCGCAAATTACCACTGCTGAGGACATCAGTATGCCCAGGTCCAAAAAACTGCTATTTGTGCTCCAACAATGCTCTAAAGCTTTGTTTTCCTATTGTGTGAGATACTTTTAACTCAAATAAGCTTGCACATATCCTCAATTTATCACACACTGAAAACAAGTAACCTTTTTCATTAGAGCATACTGTGGTATAATTTTATAAAATTATAAAACCTTTTTTCTGTCAACAAAAGGAAGGAGTTTGAGTACTAGCTGCACAGTGCATCAACACAGAAGGCAACTAAAAAAAGATTAAGGAAGCAACAAGTTTTTTTCTTCTCAAGCTCAGTTATCAAAATAGCAAGACTATCCATATCAGTTCTTTAATTGTTTTTAAATTCCGCATTTGCATCAATAAAAGCTTTATTTTTTTTTTGATAGCTCCATGCAAAAATAAATGAATGAAATGTGACATGAAACTGCTTTATCGGTTCAGCACATTAATAAGTGGTTATACAATCTAATGAAGATGAAAAGTGAACTTGGTGGGAACAGGCCAGTGGTCACGTCGATGGGGAAGCATGAATAATTCCTCCGTGACCACAATCTAAAAATGCTAGATAACCGCTAAAATCATATAACCCCTAATGCTTCCTTGAAAACTTGGCAGACACCAAGTCTAAAAAAAAAACTTCTGCTTCTCAGATTGTAGAAGGAAAGTCTAATCTTCAGTCATTTCAACAACAGCGGGGGGGCATTTACCAATTAGTGTCCTAAGCGAACAATGTTTTCACACAATCGTGAAATCTGATTGGAAGTCCTTCAGCAGATTCATTTTACAAAATGCTGACAGCAAAACCAGTATTTGGAACAAGAAGGAAAACAAGCCACTTGATGTCTGGTATGCAAAGCTACAGCATGTAAGCTGTAAAATGTGCTCGATAAAGCCTAGAGGAATTCAGTAAGTAATGCAGAGGGATACGGTGCATTAACAAACTGCAGGCAGCAGACACATTTATAAAATGAAAACAGTACTGTCCACACATTTACTGACTGTTGTAATGAGCCTGTCATGCTTTTTATGAGAGTAGCAGTATTTCTCATATGACTGTCACCTGCCTGTGCATAGAAGACCTAACAGAAAGAAGCACCTGGGAATTGTGTTAAAAAGCAAGAAACTGTGGCTTTTAAAATGTGTTTGAATTGATTGATTTTGAAATGATATTATATATATTAGGTTTCGTTAACCTCATTTCTAGTGATGACAGTGAGGTGTGACGGCACTTGATAAGGGGTGAATTTGCTCAATTCTCATGTTCAGAAAGACAACCTGAAAAGACTCAGACTAAACATCTGCGCTGCAGTTGGATGAAACTGCTGCCTCAACAAGAGAATCTCACCCCTCACACAACACCAGGAATCCATATACTGGAGAGCTCCGATTTAGCAAGTTTGTAGGGCACTATTACAGTATATCACCAGTTTCTAAAGAACTGGAACAATTTCATTGTGATCAATTAAGAAATGTAGTGTTCATGTAGGGCCAAAATCCAAACACCAAAAAGACTGTTCTTAATTAAACAGATTACTTGCTCATTTCGTCAATAATTTATGGGTATTCCCCAGTATAAAAACCTAGGGCCAAAACACATATTTCCTAGGGATCCTGAAATCCTCAACAGCAGAAGACCTTTGAAAAGTGTTACATCGGTTGAGTTAAGATCACGATTAGTTGCATACGATCATTTAGAGAAAATCTAGGATGAACAACCCATAGAGAAAGCAAAAAAAAATCAAAGAAATATAAAGAAAGTCTAACCACCCTGCATTTCAAACTTCCATACTCAAACAAAGGATATCTATAAAAGTTTAACTTTCTTCAAAACTGAACAGCAGTGGACGTGCAGACGAATTTTTATTTTTACAATAATAAAAACACCCTGACGAAAAAAGCATGAAGCGGTGTTACTTTAAGCTGATTAGGAACAGATCCTGTGATGAAAGCTACTTTTGTAAAATTGCAAGTGTCTACTGATTCAGTAGCAGGCAACTCAGTCAGTAGAAATCAGATAGACACAGAAGGTTCTTTCTGGCCATAAAAAAAGTCTGGAACATTTGAAACATTTCAACTTTATCTCATAGATATTGTTAACAATCCAGTGTATGATTACAATATTGCCCTGGGTTCCCCAGAAAGTACACAGATTCTACATGAAAAGCTGTGCAGTCCTATGACTCTTGTCTTTTCATGAACCAGCTCATGGTTCATGCTCAAAACAAGTCACTTTGGAAGTTTCTTGTTTCAATGCTATCTCTCAGCTCCATTTCTATACGATTACTTTATCACTTCATACTGTAGGCGACAGTGTCGTCTCAAGGACAGAGTCCATGTTACGGTTTTCTGGTGCTTTGTTATCAGTGTATCATTCATCATTAAAAGATATCTTAAGCTTTGAAATTAATGGCCACAGTGGGGGTGTGCCTTGCAAAGATAAACTGAAACAAAGGGCACTTCTAACATCAATTTTATTAACAGCTCTCCGGTGCCCTGAAAATGAACTTCCTGTTCAGTCAAGGACATTTAGGACAGTTCTTCTAGCACATAATATATCGCTCGAGCATGACGGGGTTTTTTTTTGCAATTTTAAAATTACAAAGGGTTTAAATAATCTTTTTCCAAGTAGACAATGCATGATTATCCAACAGAGATGCTCAAGCACTTATTCTGAATACTCCTATTGAAGACTTCATGAATATTCATTCTTTGATGTGGGTCTGTAGGAACTCTCTTTATTCATGAACTACTACTGATTAAAATAAAAATGTTTAAAAAATATCAGTGAGAAGATATGCTCAGGCTACTTTATTTTTAATCAAAGATCTCCTATTTCCTGCATGGGATCTCAGGACAGAATTGGCAGCACAGACAATGAACATCACTTCTCATCTGGCTTCTCAGGACATTTGAATTCCTAAGGCAAATGATACTGGAATCTGATGTTTCTTGGGATTGCACCACTCATATAAATTAATTGAATTATTTAAACTCTTTTGGTTCAATGACAGAAGTCTAGAAATAACTTTATATAGCCTTTCAGTGCAAGATCCATTCTTTTATCCTGAAGTCTATTAGCTATCACTATCTTTCCTACTTGTACACCTGACTCGCAACTTGTGTGCTCTCAACTTACTCCAGAAAATAAAAAAAATATTGAAAAAATGCTTTATTCTCAGAAAAATTCCTCAACCACGCCAAAGAGCTAGTCAGCCTCGACAGCCGCCCATGAAGTGAGAATTCTCCTCCCATCCCTCCTACCCAGTGACCCAGCACCAGTACATCTGTGTTCTCTCATACAGTAGCATCGCAGTGATCAGCGCCCACGTGACTGTTGTTTTTGTGAGAAAACTCTGATGTCAAGCCTACACTATGGCTCCTAAGCGAAAGTCACGTAGTGAAACAGGTGGTGAAAGGAAGAAACAACGTTCAGCGCCTACAGTATGTTGGATAAAAAAAACGAAACATTAGACAAACTCTGAGGTGGCATGTCAGTGACCAGTATTGCTTGGAAACATGGCCGAAATAAATCCAGCATTCAATAAAAAAAGTGAATTTTATGAAGCTGTTTCTTATTTACTGTTTTTATGCTCATATTGAATACTGTGACTTACAATAAGTGGTAAGTGGGGGTTGTAGGGTATAATATGACAAGAATTTGGCTTTACGCGCTACTCAAAATCCCTGCTTAATTGGTGAGAGGGCTGTACTCTGGGAAAGGGGCTTTGGCAACAGGTTGGAGGTTCGCAAACAGGTGTCAAGCCAGCTGGTGCCTGCGGCGCCCAGCGCCACGCTGAGGTGTTGGCTATAACGTCTCACCAGGAGTGAAGGCCCTGTGGTACTGGTGCAGGTCCTGCCCTCTCAGCTCCTCGGCGATCTGTTTGATCTTCAGTCTCACGCCGTCCAGCTTCACCTCGGACTCCGCCAACACCTCCGCCACTCCGGGGACGCTGCGGCCAGAGGGAGACCAGGCATTAAAGGGGTTCACGTAACACAGCCGGCACCTGGGAACACCTACAACCTGGGCTGACAGTGGGCTCCTCCGCCCTCAGGGCTGTTGGGGCTCCCTGTTTTCTACACGGCTGGCCGGGCCTGCTGGATTGACGATCGGCCTCAGCCCAGAGCAACAGGCAGCACAACCTGTCCCGCCAGGCAACCAACTGGTCCCCCAGTTTAAACACTGCTTATTCCTCAAGCTGCAGAAAGCACGAACCATGAACATGTTAACTGCTTCTTTTCAAGCAAAGGGGCCTGTTAACGGTATCCGTTCTTTTCTAAAAAAGTACTTTACAGTCCTGGAATGTGGCAACCCCTAAAAAAAATACACTAAAAGCCTACACAGAGCACCTATATATGGCGAGCAAACCATCAAAAAGCATCACACACCCGAAGAAGGCTCCACAGGCGAAACATTTTGTTTCTTTTCTTCTCTTTTCAGCGTGGAATAAACCTTTACTTGTTCCTTTGCAGCCTACACATGCTGACTCAAGTAGCTACCTCCTTGAACTACATCAAAAAGGGGTTTCTTATAATGTATCTCCAGGGTATTATTATTCTTTAATCTTACATTAAAAACACCAAATCAGCATTTTACTATCTACAATGAGTCCCATTGACTACACCGAGTACCATTCAATGCAGCTATTGGTTAATATACACAATACACACAGGTCTGTTCATAGCAAGAAGGCACCACATCCAAACCTCACCACCACCTTGGAAAAAACAATCCCTCCACTCACTCATGATAAGTTATTCCTGGGGCTAACGCACTGAAGACCGCTGTCACTGTTTTATGGTCATGCTTGCACTTAAATCCACCAGCAGATTCCAGTAGCGTCCAGGATGAAACAGATTCTGATAGCCCAAGCCCTGCATTCAGCAAAACGTCACACCTTACCTGGTTACTCTGTGAAGGAGAAAAATAGTCCTCTTGCTTTCGATGGTAATATCGCGACTCAGTTTCACCAGCCTTTCGTATTTGTCATGCTTGGTGTCCAGCTCCAGCTGAAATGCTATAAAAAGAGGGGGAAAGCACTTCCTATGAACTGGCTTCATTACTCTGCTCTCCTCCCCACTGGTAGCTGGTGTGTGGGGAGCGTTCTGGCGCACTATGGCTGCTGTCATCATCCAGGTGGGGCTGCACACTGGTGGTGGTGGAGGGGATCCCCATTACCTGTAAAGCGCTTTGAGTGGAGTGTCCAGAAAAGCACCGCATAAGTGTAAGTAATTATTATTATAATTATTACCTTGACACCAATTTCAACTGTTCTGTCAGGGTACTACAAAAGGACTAGCTCTTAAGTATAATGCAGAGACTTACCAGCAATCAGTCTGCTCATTTGTTGCTTCTATTTCTCTATTGCTCTAGCATGAAAAAAAACGTATTTCCTTACATTTAAATGCTGCCATCACAGCTGAAGTTGTGTTAGTACCATCGTCCTGATCTTCCATTTTGTGGGTCGGAGTGTAATCTTGTCTCCGTTTCCGAAAACTTCCATCACCTTTGAAACCAAAACCCATAAACACACACAGGCATGTTACCACTCAAACGGTATGTTATATGGTCTTAAACCTCAAACAGCAAATAGACAATGAAATAACTGCTATTGCCCTGTAAAAAGGTTCCGTTTCAAACTTCTGTACTCATATCAACGTCCTGTCTGTCAGTTTATAAAATAAGATCAAAGCGCAGCTACAGAGGAATGATTGGGTAAGATCTATTCTTCACTGTTAAGGATGTTCATACAATTTAAAGGAATGTGGCTTCTGAGATCACAAACGAACTATTATCATTACTTATTTAGAAGACGACTTTAACGAAGCGTCAAACAACTTGTTAATAAGGACCTATTCGCGGGGCAATAAAAGCATTTGAATTTCAAAGGAAATACGGGGATGTAGCCGCATTTCAAAGGGACTGTTCCCCAATACCATCAGAAAAGGCTCACGTGTAAAACAAATACCGTTAACAATGCGAACAGATGTGTTTTCACAACAGCGGTGTACTCCTGCTCGCCTTAGCGGACTAACCGCGTTCAAGTCTTTGGTTAGCTCTGAATGTTGTTAGCTGTGTGATCTGAGATTACCCAGTTAAACGCGCATTTTCAATGAATTTTACTTTCAGAAATTGAGTCTCTATTTTCCTTCCTCTTTGTGACTGCGATTAATTAGCTGACAGATGCCATTCCTGAGCTTTTTAAATCACCCACAGCTGATTATCTTATCCCCTCCCTTTTAACCAAATTAACAACACCCAATGTATTTTTGAAAGGAGGATTAGCTCGAAAGGACAATTTTGGCAATTAGCCGTTCAGCCCACACTACAACCGACAGCGTGTGAGCAGAAATCATCACTGCTGCTTTTAATCCAATTAATGTCAGAACTGTCCACACGCAAGCACCTCGTTTGAAAAAAAAAAAACAAATATAAATTAATGAATATTCAAAAACAAAAATTTCCTACGACAGAAAACTCCGGCTTTCAAGCAATATGTCGTGAATTCCGTTACTACCTACAAAACAAATCCCTGAACACTAACCTTCTTTTCTACTCATCGCGAACTAAAATAGTTTTTACCAAAATGTTCTTTGTTATTTAAACTCTGATTGACTTTAATTGCAGAAATTAACAATCGCCAATTCGCTGTGCCCAAGGATGTGTTTACATCAAACCACGCTTTCCTAAACAACCATGTTTCGCTCCTAGAACACTGGATCTGCTGTAGCTGCCTTACAACTGCCTGTTAAATTAAAACAGAAAAGAAAGAAACTCATGTAGGTAAATAAAATATTTAGAAGTTTAGTTTTATTCACAATAATCGAATAGAAATTAAAAAGAACGTCGATGTTGTTTTCTGACCGTACTGTGACTAAGAAGTACTTATTTTAATAGTGGCATGAGCTTTGCTTTTCAGGCAGGGAGCCGATCTTTTCAAGTTAAAAATACGTCATACTGGAAAATTGCATTTTGGGAAATGTATTTTTAAAATATAGCGGCTCTCTAACGTGGTGTGTACAGTGTATAGGTACTGTACAAGACCGGTATTTCATTTAAAAAAGACACTCAAAAAGTTAATGCAATTCTTACACGTGAGCACATAATAATTAATGACAGGAAAAAAAAGTAGATTATTGTTACGGATCCTACAAGTATATGGGATGAAGGTGTGACAAATGCAGGGAATTATGCTTCTGTTATAACTGATTATGCGGTTCCTTTGATCATACAATGCCTTTACTATATTCAGACCGAAAAAAAAAAGAAATCTCGTCTGGTTTTAGGGAAACAAGGCTGATTTTGCCTAATCGGGTTAAGCACACGCAGTGAGGAAACTTGCAACCCACAAACAAAACCCAAGTCAAAATACGGGATGCATTATAATATCAAAAGTGAGATATGAGGGTTCCGAACTATTGTGCCAAGAGAGGGTGGCGCTTAAAACACGTTGCTTTGAACAGCAGTAACCCTGGAGTCCACAAAAAAGCTCAACAGCTGGCCTATCATTTGCATTAATAAAAACAACGGGATTTTTCTGGGACACTCAGAAAAAAACATCTTTCAAGGGTCCCAAGATGCTCTTGGCACCGTTAGATCACACAAAACACAGATACTTCCCGCAAACGTAACACCTTCAGGGTGTGTGTTTAAATGCGTTATTTCTTCTTTGTAAGCACTGCCTGATCAATAATTGCTGTAGAAGATGGCAAAATCGGCAAATCCCGGATTTCTGATGGGTCACGAAGAATACATGCAATGGCAGAGTATTTCGAAGAATAGGGAAACGCGCGCTGCGCGTCGCGTGTCGTAAATGCCAGATCTCCACAGAAAAAACTACGTCTTTAAATAAGCGCTCGGCAGTTCTGACAGCAGCGGCTGGGTGGCGCTCCAGGGACGAGCCCCTAATTTCAAGGCTTCAGTTCTGAGGAAACCCAGAACAGATTTAGTTGTTTCCCCCCCTCGGCATTGTGACGTCGCTGTGTCTGGAATTCTGAGGCACAGAGGCGAACGCGTTCCGAAGCGCGTCGGAGCGGCCGCAGGTGTCACGGTTCCGAAACCGCCTACGGGCTGGGCACCCGATTTGTCTGGGCGACTTGACAACGCCGCGGACTGCACACAGACACGCACGCCTCCCCGGCCGCACTCCACTGCTGGGGTTCTTGTGAATGGCTCTAGGCGGGCCCTGCCCTTCCCTCGTTGACGTCAGGGGTTGGGGTTGGTTAGGGACGACGTGAGGAGCGGAGAAAGAGCGCGGCGCCATGTGTCTCTGGGAGACTGGCGCTCTGAGACCAGGGGCATTTCGGAGTGCAGAGGGAGTGCGCCATGTGCCGTCTGCACTGTCCGGTATTCGCCCTCCAGTAACCCGCAGAGGGTAACGCAGCGTGGGTGATGAAAGTGCGTCGCGCCGAAGCGGAGGGAGCAGGTTTTCCTTTGGGCTTGTTTGCGGCGGCGGCGGATCCCTACCAAACTTGTACTGCGCCGCCGGGGCGAGGGGCAGCGCTGGATTTAAAGGGCCAGTAGCCGCCGCTGAACTTCGCAGCCATGGCGAGCGAGGAGGGCACGCTGTCGGACCTGGAGCGGGACCGGCAGTACTGCGAGCTCTGCGGGAAGATGGAGAACCTGCTGAAGTGCGGGCGCTGCCGATCCTCCTTCTACTGCAGCAGGGAACACCAGAAGCAGGACTGGAAGAAGCACAAGCTGGTGTGCAAGGAGGCGGGGAAAGCGCCGAGCCCGTCGCAGCCGGAGAAGAACCGGGCGGTCCGAGACGGGAAAGGAGCACAGCCGCCGCAGAAGGCCCGCCCCGGGCCGGACACGCCGGCTTCCCAGAGCCCGGCGGACACGGGGCCTCCGGAGAGGGAAGGGACGACGGATCATATCAACTGCGCGGACGAGCCGGGTGGCATCGCCAACAACAAGCAAGCCGGGGACGGGATTCACAATAACATTAAGCCCAACGGTCAGACGAAAGCCCAGCCTCAGAAGCTGGCCATGGAGTACATCGTGCCCTGCATGAACAAGCACGGCATCTGTGTGGTGGACAATTTCCTCGGGGAAGAGGTTGGACTGCGCATCCTGGAGGACGTCAGAGCCCTCCACCAGACCGGCAAGTTCACGGACGGCCAGCTGGTCAGCCAGCGGAGCGACTCCTCCAGGGACATCCGGGGCGACAAAATCGCGTGGATCGAGGGGAAGGAGCCCGGCTGTGAGAAGATAGCCTTTCTCATGAGCCGCATGGACGATCTGGTCAGACACTGTAATGGTAAACTGGGAAACTACCAAATAAACGGGAGGACGAAAGTAAGTAGCGCCCCAGGTGCGGACGGTGTAACCCCCCCGGCGCGCAGGTGCACATAACCCTCCACACCCCCTCCCCTCTCCTCTCCTCTCCCCTGAGCAGGTGAAAAACTGCCCCGCCAGCTGTCGTCGGGGAACCGCCGGGTAAACACCTCCACGTGTGAGGAACGAGGCGCCAGGATGATTGTTGTCTTTCGAGAGTTTTGTTTCACGCGTGTCTGTAAAATGCGTGAGATGACACGTTTAGCACCGAGTCTTGGTGGGGGGGACAAAACTTACTTTGACCTGAAGCAGCAGGTGACGGGGAAAACAGACGAGTTTATTCCAAGATCCATTAACAATACCGGGTGCTTTTCCAGCTCGTAAGTAGTCGAGTTCCTTGGTGTTTGCTCTTGTCCGACACCTCTGCACCATTCGTTTCCGTCAGACGCAGTGGCAAGCAGCTGGAATATAGTCCGTGACCCCTTTTGACGTGTTTTCTGCGATGGACAGTTACAGGGGTTAAAAGGGAAAGTTGTGTGTGTGTGTTTTTCCTGGAGTGGGGAAAAAATGTAGCTGTTTCCATTCGACAGCGATGCAGGCATTGTGTGTGTCAGCGTTAAAATGAAATCATGATGGACTACTGACCAGCGATCCTTGGGCGAAATGCTCTTCACTTTGACGAAGGAAAGCGAGGCCTTAGTCCGCTAATAACTTTGTAGACACGGACCCAGGCTGAGTCTATCAGCGCAGTGCCTAATTGTCTAATGAAATACGCAATACCAGCTCAATTAAGAACCCGTTCTGAGCTGTATCCTTTCCAGAATTCTTATTGAGATGACAAACGTTTATTTTTCGGCGATCGTTCGATACCGGTGTAAATCATTATAGCACGTTGTACGTGTTTGGGAATGAAAAGCATCAGGGAGAGTTTTACGCACACGTGATTTAGAAAGTGACTGACGGATGTAATTCCATGTGACCGAAGAAGATTGAGCCTGGAAGTGACAGATGTTCCGAAGTCCAGAAAAGAGCATTTCTGTATTCAAATAACGGAGAAAATAAAAGGGAGGTTAAAGAACATTTTAGGATTAAAAAAAAAACGTGGCTCACTAAATTAGTCGTCTGAATTCTATATAGGCTGATTTCACTGCAGTGATAATGTTAATCCCTTTTTATTTTTTTGAGCACGTTTGTGATGAGAACAAGGAAAAAGCCCTTAAGAGAATCGAGCTATTTTGTTTTTAAAAAGTGCATTAAAATAGTATATGAAGTACAAATGGAGTAGTCGAGCACTTCAAAACACAGACCCCTTGGATTAAGACGAGAAAGCTTTAACCTGTCCACATTTGCTGAAACTTTATGCATTTGTTAGAATGCATATTTGTGTCTTTTTTTACAGCAAAGGCTTTATTGAATTTATACAGAACAGCATAGCAAAAAAGTGCTGTTTTGTATAAGTCAGTTTGACATGTGTTTTCTTTCTTCTCTTTTCAGCATGGAATAAACCTGTTACTGAGAAATGCTCAGGTGATGCAAAATGATCATTAAAATAAGTTGAGCAGTGTTACGTAGTTACCATAGGGACAGACAGTAAAGACGAATGACCGCAGTGACTTTGTAACAGGAGCTGGGAAAAGAAACTGAGGAAAATGTTATCGTTGAAGAAAACGAAGGACAAATGCGAGCACAGATGTTAGAACTGTAATAAGTAAGACTGCATCTTAAGATGGATATGAATGCTATTTGATTCTTTGGTTATATTTTCCAAAGGCAACATATCTTTGGTTGCAAAACGTTGAAGTTTTTCAGTTTTTTTTTTCCTTCTTCCATGGGTTTGAATGCATTCAATTCAGGCTTTGTAAAATGCATAACTAACCTTCGGTACACAAGAGATTCAAAACGCAGAAATGGAAAAAGAGCGATATTTCTCAGAAATAAAAAGGTGTTTTAGGTACTTACAGTTTTTCCAGCAAGAACTGAAATTCCCAGTGTGCGGTAGAAGATTCTTATTCTTGTACAGCTTATGGAATATAAATTGATCTCTGTGGTGCATTTTGCAGCATGCATCTAGTGTCTAACTGGAGCTGCAGTCAACACTGAGAGATTGATTTACCCACTGAATCTTTTACTTATCACCTTCTTATTAAGCCTGGATGGCAAATCCCCACACAAAAATTGCAAACCTGTCATTTTGTGTACTTTAGAAAGTGTGATTCCTTTAGATTTTAAAACAGATTTTTGAAATCAGCGAATAACACCTTCATTACCAGAAACTAGAATTTATGAGACATGAAACTATTGTATAACTTTTCTTTATAAAAGCAAAAAAACATCAAATCTGTCAGTTTGTACTGCATATACTTTGCTTGAGTCCTTGTATGTGCACTGTAGTAAGCCAAGCCACTTTCAGAACTAACCTGTGCTTAAATTCAGTTATCTGTTAAGGACGTTCTGTTGTCTGGAGAGTTAAATTCAGCCCCGAGAAGGATGCCAACCAGGATGACAAAATAGCTCTACAGTAAAATAACATGGCGTGCATTGTGCTTTCTAGGTATGTCACGTCTTCCCTTCTTTGGTTTTTGATTGCAAAGAAAGTAATTAGACTCCATAGGTACGTAAAGTGCCCATGAATAAGACACATTTTTAAATAGCTTTGTTTTTACACGTGCCATCACAGACAAAGCCAAAACAAATAAGTGCTGTTTGAGTTTTTTGTCCAGTAGTTTTGGTTTTGGGTATTGTTTCATGATACATGTGTGGATGTTAACCTCCTCCTTGAAGTCAATGGGCCACAAAAGAGCATGAAACACCTTCATGTGGTCCAGTTGAGTGAGGGGAGGACGCTTTTAAACAGCTGCTGCGAAGTCCGAGACATCGTTGTGATTTGGTTTCTGCTTCCTTTAAAGCTTCTTTTTTCCTTTTCTTTCTTGAGCGTGTGACGGGAGGGGGGAGGGTTGTGTCCTTAGTGCTCCCGCGGTGCAGTGCAGCACAGCAGTTCTCACTGCCCTTGCGTGTTAACCAATCGAGACGCTTCCGGGGCGTCAGCCAGTCACCTCTGCTGAAATGTGTCAGCCTGGCAGTCGCAGCGGGTGAGAAAGGAAGCTGTGCGCAGTGTGGTGCGCCAGGTAATGTGTTTTAACTCCTGACTGTCGGCGGGCAGGCGCTAGAAAGCTTCCAAGTGTGCATGCCGACGTTTATTTAGCAGCCTGACCGCTGCAGTCGTCTGTCGGAGCAGCAGGAGGTCACCCAGCTGGTGGGCAGCTCTGGTGTGGTGGGATGTAAAGAGTCAGGTATTGCGAATGAAGAGTTTAAAAATGATTTCAGGATCAGTCGGCAACATCTGTAGTGTGGGACCTGCTTCCATTTCCCAATCGTATAGGGACTGTAAAAGATTCCCCTTGCTTATTGGTTAAAATGCGAATAATTATTTGAAGCTTAGAAGCGCCGGAAACAAAACTTACTTTCCAGAGCTGTGACCCTTGCATTTAGTGAACAGTTCTGTTTTTGTTAAGGTCTCAAGTTATGTGATTCTTTACTGTGTTCATGTGGGATAAACATCTGTAAAACCCACCTCGATTTCAGGAGTAGGACTGTGTGATACCAGCTGCACCCTTGGCAGACCATCCTGGGTTCCTGCTGTGTCCTGAGGTTTGCAGGCCCACTGTATCATTTGTGATCTACCAGCTGCAGTGCGTGGCCTGGCTGTGGTCTGGTTGTCAGTCCCTGGCCTGCCAGTCTTCTCTCGGGCCCCAGTCACGGCCAGGTGCAGAGGTAGACCTGGCCTCGGCGTGTATACACAACACTCTTTTAATCCATCGCTCTCGAGAAGGGTGATGTAATGTTAAGCAGTCATTTGTCAGATTGTGCCTTTTTAATTTGAGGATGGATTTCTCAGTTCACTTTGAAAGTTATTTTAAATTCTTTTTTTTTTTTACAGATTCAGTTTTTTTTTCCAAACAAATATGAGTTCTGCATTTGCATATATGTTCTTTTTTTAGTTCTAGGCCCTAATGTAATGTTCAGAAATGAGAAATAAGAAAAGAATGTTTAAAATGTACAAGTCAGAAATGTTTGAGTTAAGGGGTCACATTTACACAGATGCACAGATATCAGCAGTTTAGTTCCGTTTAACCAAGCCACCAGTTTAGTTGATGCTTTTATCCAAAGATCTGATATGTCCCCATTATACAGCTGGGGGTTTTAAGGGAGTAATCTGAACAGTGACTATCCCAGGATTTGAACCCACAACCTTCCTGAGTCCTAAACTCTCCTCCACATAGCTGTAGTCAACTGGCTGATTAATCATGATAAACTATATAATGATTATGTAGTGACTGATTAATCATGGTTATCTATGTAGTGCTTTACATCCTGTAGCTCTCTTCTGAAGTACAGTACGAGCAGCCCTGGTACTCTCTTGATTAATTGGAGAAGTGAGATATTGTTTTGATGATTGAAATAAGGGGGAAATTTAAATTTAGGAAGGTTAGACTTTGCAAGCACAGAATTAAGTTTAGCCAGAACACCAAGGTTAGCAGCCATACTCTTATGAACAGTATCATGGGACCTTTCATGAACAAGCAGTCACAACCTCAGATTAATGTCTCTCCCAAAGGGTAGCACCCCATTCACCGTACTGGGGCAGTGGTTTAGAAGTTCTGGTCCAGGGGGAAGAGCCCCACCTACTAGTCCACCAGCACCACTTATAGCAGCAAAATGATTTTGCTTGGAGGTCTCCCATTCTGGTGCTGATAAGACCCAACCTCGCTTAGCTTGTGAGATCTGATGGGGTTGGGCTACAAGGTGGAATCGCTGCTTTTAAACTGTTCGGATATCCAAAACCCAAAAAAAGGTAGTGGACTTTCTAATAAATATTAACATGCCAGCGTTTACTACAATTCTAGATGGCTGCAAGCGATGTATGTGACAAAGGTATTAGGATCTCTGTTGGTCCATCTTCTGGTAGCTGCTGTACATCACTTCAGGGTGTTTCCAGTGCTCCTGCATGTCCTTTTCTTTTC